GAAATACAAGCTTAATTTGACCAGATGAAGAGCATTTGTCCCGAAAACCGATCAAGAAAAGAACTTCACGTCATCCAGGATATTCTAAGCAAAAACGGATATCCGAAGAAATTTACAAAAGCTAACATGGCACTCAACAGTTGCAAACATGGAATGGCAACGGTGGACAGAAAGCCATTAATTTTGCCTTTATAATTCAAGGTAGACTGCAGTATCACGACGTCGAACTCCAAAACTAGAATATCTGATGGGAAATACGGTCAAAAGCATTTTGGTATATTCTGACCTCACCTCGTATATATGTCGGTCCATGAATTTCATACTAGATCTGAAATACAGCACCCAGTTCTCAACCAGCAACCAAATACCATTCAAACAGACGAGAAAGCGAAACCTCATTGTACGCAAGTGAATGCCGTTATTGATTGTAATCTTCAGGTATCATAAACAGCTTCCACCAGCACGGTGGTGTGGACAAACTAACCACCTTTGAGAACGCGACACAGTGAAGAAACTAGTTAGAAAACGACGAAGGTCTCCATTGGTATGCCAACAATTTTCATTAGCCTTATTTTCAGGCCATCGCGAATTGGAACAAGAAAAAGACGCATTACGTGGAAAGCACTCCGTTGCCCACATCTCCAAACTGCAGTTCTGTATGAACGCTCGTCATTGCTTGCTTCTAATTTAAACAGAACGTTGTGTTATGAAAAGAATGCAATAAGTGAAATGGTGTCTGTATGTAGTTTGAATTTTTGGCGACATGATTTAGTTGATATATAAGTTAGGAGGCATTTCAGGCACTGGTAAAATTTAAGGTGCCTAACAACGTTGGGCAAATAAGTCCTACTACCCCCTGTACGCCCGTCTTTTAACCCAATGTTTCTACAGTGCGTCGGATGCTTTTGCCAGCTGGACTGACATAAACAGTAATACGATATAGTAGGCTGTTCTATATTAACTTAATACAGTAACGAAAAGTACTCCAATAATTAGTCACAACAATACCATCGGTAAGTGAAAACAGACCTTTGGTAAAAGATCTTCAATTGCCCCAATTAATGAAGTTTTAAAAAAATACATTTTAATGTACAGTCGTGTAAAATGATGTCAGTGCAAACCACCAACAAACGCCATACAAAATACTATGCCTCTTTGGTAAACAATCGATCACTTACAGTATCATCACGTAAAGAAACCAAATACAGAACTGTTTTAAAATTAGAAGCACTTGACTTTAAAAAGTCCAAAATTATGGATAAACAGAAACCGCCCTTATAAACTGATTCTACTCTAAAAGTTTCAATCACTGATGAACAGTCTATGTTAGTTCAAGACAAATACGATAAGGAAACCAAATGTAAAACTCTTGTCTAATAACTCACTAAATACACAATCGCTCTCACTAGAAACGCTGTAGTAGTCCACTAGATCAGGTAGGACATAAGAGTAAAGTCATTAGTTAAATCTCCCTAATATGTCTTGTCAGTTCAACTATTACAAATTCAAAGAAATCTTCAAAGGAGTACACTTTTATTGATTTTATTTGTGCAACGATAGAGGATTCCATGAAACAGAAATCGATTTTATAGTATGATTTATGATTGGTTGCTATTTTACCCATGTAGTTTCAGATCACAACTGATTACGAATTCATGCTATCTGTACACACTGACGAATATGCTGGGTCGACGGTAAGGCTCAAGGAGGTTTGAACTTTACGGACAATTTACATCTGATGTCACACAAACTCGAAGATGTAAAGGCGAAAAACAATAAGTTGGCAGAAGAAGCAGTAAACCCAGGACTTCAAGTGAACACACAGAAGTCAGAGGCGACGAAGATACTCATCCAAAAACAGATAGCTTCTTCATATCTTCCACTTTCAATGACCATCTTTCACAGCCATAAAACAGGACTGCTGCGCAGTAAACACGTCTTTTGACTGATAACCAGATATCACATCTACGCCAGAAATGGAGTATATTGACAAATGCCACACTAACCGTTTTTATCCATGCTGCGATTTCGTAAGCACTTAGCTACGCAGGTTTCGAGTTGCTTTAACTTATTCAGTTCCCTGAGCCGAATCTTCCTGGATGCCTCGATTATCAGCCTATTCCCAAACGACTGAAATAGCCGTATATGGTGTTTAGATCACTTTGATCTTGCTAACAAGCAGGGGTGTTTTTTAACTACTCATATAAATCAGTACAATATAAAATGACGAGTGTTTCCTTAATACTTGTGGCGTCTTTTTTGGTGCCAATATCTTATATGTAAATGTAAAACGATATTATTATCGCACGTATCTATTCCCTTGGGTTCTCCAGCAACGTTTTCACCTGGCTCCACGTTCACCCACACGCCTTCATCCCCTCTTCGCATGACGTCCTCCATGTCACCTTCGCACTGACAACCAACTCGCCGCTTCCCATTCGGGTTCCACTCGAGCGATGGCCTGTCGTGTGATGTCACTCGCTTGATGGTTTTCTCAGAGTATGGCCAATCCACCTCCATTTCTTCCAGCATATTTGTTGCACAGTCGGTTCCTGTTGGGTCGGTTCGCTCATTGCCAGAGATCCCTGTTGCTGATCTTTTCCGGCCGGCCATCTGATCTTGAGTGGCATTGAGTGAAGACAGCTGTTGATGAAGGTTTGTAGTTTGTTCGAAGTGCCTCCCCATGTGACGCGCCAATTATCTGTCCGTACAGTAGCACTGACTTCACATAGGAGTTGGAAATGCAGATCTTATTTTCATGTTGAGTGCTGTTTGTCTCCACACAGACTTGAGAGTAATGAAAGCTTGCCTTGCTTTCCTGATCCTCGCTTTGATATCCTTGTCAGTTCCTCCTGCCTGTAGTTGAAACGATGCTTCCCTCGTCGGTAGGTAAAGGAGGTTACTTCTTTCAAATTCCTCGCATTTATGCTGATTGTTGTTGATGCTGTTGGCCAGGAATCTTCATCACCTCTGTTTTCTCTATGTTCACCTGAAGTCCTATCTTCGATGCTTCTTCTGCCAACTTGTTGCTTTTCACTTGCATATCTTCCAGTTTGTGGGAAATCAGACAAATATCATCGGCGAAGTCCAGATCCTCCAAGTTTTTGTGTGGGTCCATTTTATGCCTGTCTCCTCGTTGACCTCTGTCTATCGCATTATCCAGTATACCGCAATCAGGAATATGATTACAGATAGTAGGCAGCCTTGTCTCACTCCCGTCTTCTTAGCATCTTTATGGCCTTCAGGATTTCTGTTTTCGTCGGAGGGTTGGTATCCACTAGTAGTTCTGCTTCCGCTGTTGGTATTATTGGGTGCGTTGCAGGTGAGTTCGATTTAGAAGTCTTTTGAAATGTTCAATCCAGCGTTTCATTCGCTTCACCTCTATGGTGACTGACTTCCCATTGTCATCCTTCACTGACTTAATTTGTGTTGATCTCTTCCTCGATAGGAACCTAGTTATTTGGTAGAGTGCTGCACGGTCTCTTTCGCATGCAGCTTGTTCTGCTTCACTTGACATAGCTTCATAATATATTTTTTGTATTCCCAGGCACTTTTCTTTACTCTTTTGTTCAGCTTGCATTCAACTACTGTTTTTGTTGCTCTTCGATGCACTGGATAATCATTGTTTCACTATTCTTCTTCCTTCTATTAGTCTGCATGTTTCTGCAGTGAGCCACTGTTTGTACTGTCTCTTCATTCTGCCTGGAACTTTCATGAAGGTTTGACTCCACACCGCTTTCAGGTTGTTCTAATGCTTTTCAACGCTGGTCTCTTCGCTAGTGTTGATTTGTGTCTCCGCCAACATCTATTCCTCTTTTACTTTTGTGTCCAATAAGCTGCGCCTCCAATTCCTTGAGCAGCATTGAGATGAAGCCAATTTGGTTTTTGGTTCGTCCGTCTGATAACACCCATGTAGCCTTGTGGATATCTTTGTGTTTTTATACGCTGCCATCAATCACTAGTTCATTGAAGGCGCAGAAGTCAGCGAAGAGTCCTCCGTTTTCATTCATCTCTACGAGAGCTTCTCTAAACATGATGAGTTTTCTTCCTGTGTTGTCTGGTCCTAGTTTGGCGTTCATGTCTCCCATTAGTATTTTGATGTCACCGGCTGGAGTATTGTCCATTGTTGTCTGCAGTTGTCTGTAGAATTATTCTTTATTTTCGAGGTCTGTGTTGTTTGTCGGTGCACAGTATTCTATAAATGTCACTCTCCTTCCTTTTGAGTTGAATCTGGCGATCATTATCCTGGGCGAGATCGCCTCCCATTGTATAAGGGCCTTCGTTGCCGATGATGACATCATCAGAGCCACACCATCGGTGTGCTCGTGGTTGTCTTCTGGGTGACGGGAGTAGATCACTGACTCTCTCTCATTGACAATTCTGTGATTTCACTCCTACTCCATCTGCTTTCACATATTCCTAGTACTTGAATACCATATATCTTCATCTCATTTGCAATCTGGGCAGCTTTGCTAATCTCATACATAGTACGGACGTTCCATGTCCCTACACACACTTTTTCTTCCGTCGTAAGGAGACTCATCGCACTGAAGTTTCTGTAGCAGTTTAGTTTACAGGGTGCGGTTGCTAGCCTAACGCCCGATATTCTGTATCAAATACTGTTGAAATCAGAGTAAAAGCAAGATTTGTCAATGGAGAAATTCAAAAATCATTTACTGGAAATGTTTCCCAACATGAAACTGAGAAATTGATCTTATAAGAACACTACAATTCCGCATCGTTTAAACAAGCCTTTAGATAACCCTTACACAGTTTATTGGGCATAAATTATAATAATAATAATAATAATAATAATAATTTGCTTTATTCCAATTATTCATTCATGATACAGCTATTAGCAAAACAATGACTATACATAGTGTAGGGGAATACAAAATAAGTTTCCTAGAGGCTTTTCTACACATTCTCAACCCCCCGCCCCCGTATCCCAAAAGAGTTAAACACAATACGCTTTTTCTCATTTGCAATGTTATATATATACAAAAAATTACATGACGGTTGAAATATACTTAACCAAAAACCTAAAAAACAATGATTATACATACAGTCAAGTAAACGTGTAAAAATATTTTACAAATCAGTGAATTAATTACACAGAGATATATTAGATTACGAATCAGGTAATAATTGTGGAACATATATCTCTTCTGATTTATCTAATTCACTGAATTTTGAGCCTTCTGGATCATATTCAACAACTTTTGATGAAAGATGAGTTTCACTGAGACTTCCATCGTCGTCATCATCATCATCATCGTCATCAATGTCATCTAGTGGTACTTCTTCAGGATTCTGACTTACAATACTATCATACAGATTAGTCTTTATGACTGGAGTATATTCTGGGAGAACAATATTAGATACAAGAACACTATTCATTGGATCATACTCTGTACCAGAATCTTCTAATACAGAATCTGTACTAACCCAAGCGGTAGTCTCTACATGTGGTGAGTATTCTTGTGTGTTTAGATAGCTTTCATCCGGCATTACACCGGCATTTATTACATTTTCATCGACAGCTTCATGTTCTTCTTCTTCTTCTCCTTCTTCTTCGGCTTCATCTTCAGCCTCACCGTTGTCTTCTTCCTTCTCCTCCTCCTCCTCTTCGTCTTCATCATCATCATCATCGTCATCCTTTCTTGACAGAAGTTGAGCAGACAATTCTAGCAGACTGTATGACTCTTTACCAAGGTAGAAAGCATTTGGATTTATCAAGTCAAGCATAGCGCATAATAGTTCAGTTTGTGGATTGGAAAACATTTTCTGCTGTTGTTTAGAAAATAAGTTCGCCTGTTGAACAAGACTCATTGGTGTCGAAGTGATGCTTGAACTGACATGACCAATAATTTCATTCGGTTTGTAACTGGCTGCTGTACGCTCGAAATTATCAGGCACTTGAAAATCTCCACCGAAAGGATGATACAGAGCTTGAATTTCTTCGTCGGTTGCAGAAAAATCAAAACTACAAACAAAAAAAGAAATTATGGATTTATAATGCGATGCAGGATTATTTATCAGGAAAAGTAGGTTGGTATGAAATATGATAATTGATCAGCAAGAAATAAAAGCAATTGATAAAGATCTTAGTTTTCAAGTATTGGTTTTGTAGAGATTTTGTTTGATTGCATGAAGGATTTCGTCATGAGCTGATATCAGTTAGAGAACCGTTAGAAAACCTGGGAGTACTGGACAGTTGTTTCGTCAGCCTAGTTTGGGACTCTTCATCAGCATGCACCCAACGGGGTTCGGACCCAGGACCTTCTGGTTGCAAGGCCAGCGAGCTCGTAGACCATTAAGCCACTGGGATGCGATCCAACGATCAGTCCATGAATTTTAACTTCTACCAATTCATTGCCTAGTGCGACCACTTCGCAATGTCTTATTCGATGAGTTACTGTCTTACCTTCAACCTGCTGTACCCTACTGGTCACGGTTTCCCACTAGAACCCCAGGTTAACTGCCTGAATAGGGCCAGTCGCTAGTGAGCATCAGATTAATTTTCAAGTATTACTTTTTTGTAGGGATTTTTGTTTGATTGCATGGAGGATTTCATCATGAGCTGACATCGAACCCCGGCGGGTGCATACTGATGAAGATTCCCGAAATAGGACGAAACAGTTGTCCAGTACTCCCAGGTTTTCCAGTGGTTCTCTAACTGATGTCAGCTCATGATGAAATCCTCCATGCAAAGATCTTAGTTCTCAATCAAACACTTGTAAAAGTCCTAGACATCGGATTTGTTAGGACGGAATAGCATCCTTTGATAGTCGTGATTTATGCATGTACTGACATGACAACCTTATCGGACAGCTTTAATTTGTTTATTTATGGCTTAAATTTCTGAGGGTTTTTAAATATAAGACATTATATATTTTTATAATAAAGATTTCTCTTCAGTTCGACATTTTTCAGTCTGACTTTTGGATCTATCTCAGTGTGTGTGCATGTGAGGTACTTTCAAGTAATCAGTTGGTTTTAGTGTCGTGTTCTAGGGGCACATTCTATTCAAGTTAGACACAAACACACAATCCAGTATCACTCCATTGTAACATATTTTGGTGATGAACCATAACAGGATTTAATACGAAAACATTTCTGCGTAGTTTAATGAACGTATATCAAAATATTAAACTACTGTACTGATCATCTACTTTCTTGATCACGTGTTTTTTTTTATTCGTAATTTTTATATTTACTACCACATAACTCACTCTAATTTACGTAAATTGCTACTCACACTACACACCAATCACTTAGTTTCAAACATACGACAGACATCCCTATGTGGGTCGGGTAGCAGTCAGTAAATCCATGGTTCAGTGTCATGTTTTTATCTGACCATCCGCCAATTATTGTCTAACCTAGTTCTAAAATTGTTAGTCAAAAAAAGTGGTGCCATGTCATGTCCACTAAATGTCCCAGACAGCTCAATCGGTGGAGCTTCACAATTTCATCCAGGAAATTCACGTCATTAACTAAACTATACGCCTAATCTCAATTATTATCATTTTGCTACACCGAACACGAGCAATTGGTAGGAAGTAATCACATCCAAAAACCGTTTGCCTTCTACGTTTAACGGCCATGTGTCTTACACTTGTGAAAAAGAATGGAGCGAACGGTTGGTGAGAGCCACCTCTTGTGCAACGGGTCATGTTAATTTAACTGAATTTTAGATTTTCCCGTTGATTGGCCTAAGTGGGACCCTATGACACTGGCTGTTGGTTACGCTGAAATCACGAAATGGCAGGAGTTAGAATTAATGGATCGAGTCCCAGTGGCTGAGTGGTCTACGATTTCGCCTTGCATCAGGTAGACCCTGGGTTCAAATTCCGGTGGGTGAGTACTGCTAGTGAGTCCTTAGTTCTCAATAGTTCTCTAACCGATATTATTCTGTAACTAAACTTGAAATAAATCCAATTCCTATAAACCAACTCTTGAAAATAAAAGAGACTTTACCCACCGTTCGCTTGTTTCTTTATCTGGAAGGATACACGGAACCTTGCTAGTAGACATCAAATAATTAGTTGACCTTAGAATGGATAACCATTCAGGATCAAGATATAAGTTGGTAGACACTTCATCAGTTGAACTATTATCATTAGCAGACTCATCCAAATTCGAATCTGTTTGTGCTTCTTTGAAATTAGGCTTATAATTAGGAAGACTAACAATGATTGGATCATCTTCTCCAGGTTGAGAAGAGAAAGAGGATAAATTAGAATTTGAATTAGAATTGACTAGACTCTCTTCTTGACTTAATTCAGGTTCAATATCCAAGAATTGTAAGTAGTGACGATTGGGTAAACACTTGTCAAGAGCTAGGAAACGAGTAGTTCGCGGTTTTTCCGGTTTAGAATCCTATAAAATGTAACGAGAAAAAAAGATGTTATTATAAAGCTTGAGATTTCTTGTTAATTCGTTAAAAACTGAAAATACCATGACCAAAAAAATGACTTAAAAATGCCATTAGCTAGAAGGGATGAAATCATTGAATGAATTTTCAAAACACATCATTGATGCGATCATAAACAGAACGATAAAGCAATCACATGTAAGCAGACAATTAGAGTGATTTTATTTGAGCATTGCATCATGGCGCATATGAGGAGAATATCAGATAGAATTATCAGTATTCTACTGCCTTACAAATCTGTCTAGGGCAATTCAATTGACGAATTTATTGATCCTAAACGTTAATTGAATGCTACCACCGCCTTGAAGGCTATGAATTATTGCACTAATTACCAGAGTGAAATAACACACTGATCAATAGCAAATCTATAAAACTTTACTTGCTCAATATCCAAACAAAACTCAATCAGGTGATATATATATACTTACTAACACCAACAAGCAAAACAAACAGATAATGGAACTGGCATCGCTTAGTGTAAACAATTATCTTGAAGACTTAATAAAAATTCTATAAAGTCAAATCATGAAAATCAAATTGTAATCGATGTATGCAGTTTACAAATCGAAAACGATCAATAAACGATTTCTGCCTATAGATACCACTGACTGACTAACTGAGTTCCAACATGGCACTTTGCACAGAAGTCCATCACTTCAAGTTGCCACCATCCATGTGTAGCGTACAAAGGTAGACACGAGAGAGACAGGGAAAGAGAGAAAAGGGATTCAGAAATGTGAAGGAGAAAGAATGGTAACATAAAAGAACATTCGGCTTTAATGGATGTTGGCGACCACAAAGACTGGATGCAACTGCGCCACTGAAGACAATTTTGAGCCATACCTCTAAAGCTCCCCGGTCATTAGTTTTTAGCATCCCGGGGAGCCCTGACCAGACAGCCTACCCCTCCCTGTATAGCTCAAATTAACTGTCAATCATTTCATGGATTTAAAACAAGCAACAAAGGTTAATAAGGCAGGATTTAATGAATTCATCAAATTTCTGTAGAACTCATCAGCTGAATACTCTGCATACACGGATATATATATACTTTTGAAATTACATTGGGATATGTAAGACTGATAAGCAGCAAATACACAGGTCGTACAGAAACGCGATTGTCTACTAGCATGATGGAGCATTTGCCAAAATGGTCGAAAACAGCTGAATGCAAAGTGCCAAGAACATCAATAACAAAGCATCTTCTGGACTATGGACATGATGTCGACGCTGTCAAGTCATTCACTATTGTCAGCAGACAAAGAAACAGGAAGATGCTTGCAATTACAGAGGCTTGTGTAATCCGAGTTTATAAACCAGGTCTCTGTATACAAAAGGAGATGGTAGTCACTCTGAATCTACCATGGTAATACATTGTACTTATTATTCTACCTCTTATTTTCATTATTCATGATTCATTTAAAACTATCCTTTACCAGTAGCATTATCTTAACTCACTTCAACACTATTATTATTATTGTTATTATAACTATTACTATTGATATTACTCCGTTTGCAATTCTTCATATATTCTCTAATAGCTAATTGTTTATCTAAGTGATGTAATTGAAGCGTAATGCATTTTATCTTAATTTTAATCTCTGATACTCCCTCTCCCCTTATCTATTCGAACATGACCTGGAAAACATTCGCACCTGTCTTTCTGCATGACTGATTCAGTGTAGTTTATTTGCTTATTAGTCTTATATCTCCCAATGTAATTTCAAAAGTATATATATCAGCGTATGTAGAGTATTCAGCTGACGAGTTCTACCGGAATTTGATGAATTCATTAAATCCTCCTTTATTAACCTTTGTTGCTTGTTTTAAATTCGTATCGGGAAGTAAATGTTTTCAATTTCATGGATTGATTGCAGGTTTTGGTTTGACCATCTCTAGTTCTTTTCCAACTTAATCCCATGTCGGCTAAGACTGCCCGTCTAAGAAGACGACAGCTTAGTATGCTTAACGTGTGTCTATGGACATACAGTAAGACAACTCAAATGAAACAATTTGTACCAATCTGCAATAGTCCAATTCAAACAAGTATAGTGAAGCAATTAATAGTGTTCTCTGAGCTGGTTAGTTTGGTTGTGGAGCTTTCGTCGTCCTTCTGGACAACATCTTCAGTGCAATATTTAGCATAAAGTGAAATGATTTTAATTTCTTCATGAGTGATATAATTGCGTCTCCCAGTAACCATCTTTACATATGTATTGACCATTTTCTATTGACTTGGATTTTAAACTTTCTCAGCACATGATTTACTTTTTATTAGTTGGTATATTTCGTCTATATTAACGTGTTTGTTAATTGCATTTCCGTTTAAGTACCAGGCTTCTTGGAATTCCCTGGCACTTTTGGTGTTTCCTCTGTCTAAGATTTCGACATTATCCCAATCAAACTGATGTCCATAATTATCTACATCCATTGATATGAAAGGGTATATATATATATATATATATATATATATATATCATGTCTTTTCACGGCTGATTAGTGTTCCTGGATTCTGATTCGAAGAGGACACCCACTTTCGCCGATGTAATGCCTCTTACAGTCCATACAACTTATTTTGTAAATGGTATCAATTTTATCTCCTTTTTCTGTTGGATCTTTCAGTTTGCATAATATCGAATTAAGCGATTTGACTGGCTTGTGTCCTATATCTATATCAAATCAGGTTACCAGAAAGTTTAAAATCCAAGTCAATAGAAAATGGTCAGTACATATGTAAAGATGGTTACCGGGAGACACAGTTATATCACTCATGAAGAAATTAAAATCATTTCACTTTATGCTAAATATTGCACTGAAGATGTTGTCCAGAAGGACGACGAAAGCTCCACAACTAAACTAACCAGCTCAGAGAACACTATTAATTGCAAATCATCCTCCTGAGCTGCAAATCTTCTCTATTACTTCAAGTATAGTGAAGAGCAGAGAGCAATGTAAGCGGCGTTGGTGACTTGAAACCTACCAATGTGAATGACCAACAAGATTATACGTTGAAAAACTGTTATACTTAAATTCCAGAAAAAGTATAAAAACTACAAGATAAAATGCCAAAATGTAATAGAATTAATTAGTACACAAGAATAATATTCATCAACTTACTGAATGCTCTACAAGTGCTGAAAATTTACAGTGTAAGTGAGCTGAAAACCAATATCGAGGTTTCAACCGACATAATAATTGTTCACCAGGAGGACTACCTAAAATATCTGAATCTATTTCACTGCGAAAATGTGGTTTCCGTCTAGTAAGTTGATTTGTATTCCCATAATGATATATTCCTCGAGGCCAATCATGACTGAATACAATGTCTAACCGGCGACGAATTTGTCCTAATCGAAAAATTTCTAAATTTCGTAAATGATAAACAGAGCGTTTTGTTGCTTCTGAATACGGTGGACGTTCATAATGCGACATAGTATAATCATGCTGTTTGTAGATACCTGATAAACCAGCTATTCGTAATCCAGCAAACTGAACAACACCAGCGTAGCCTAAAAAGAAAAGAGAAATTAGCAATTACTAGTAATGCTGAACAACCTTTAAATAGAATCAATATCATATACAATAATGTAGGCATTATAACATAACGTCTTTGAATACACCACGAGAGAATAGAAAAAGTGGTGTTCATAATGAACATGCAAAGATATCCAAAAACATCTGAGAATCAAAACAACCTACCTACGAAACAACTTTCAACCGTCAACATAGTTTAAGAATCTGAGATTCCATTAATGACATTTCGAATAAGGCCACATCTTTCTTACTTTCCTGAAAATGATCTAATTCCAAACAACATAAAATAGCTTTTTGATTGGACACTAGTAACTAGTGTAACGTGTCTAGTCCTTTCTCTGGTGCAGACTGAATTCTATCAGTCAGGTTTTGCAATGTGGCCACCATTCTAGGCAGCTCGCCATCACGGTGCACATTGATTTGATGATATTAGATGGTTGGAGGCAACCGACAGGAAGCCTTGGACCTAGGTTTCATGCTAGTTGGCACTCATCAGTCAGCAAGGTGTATCTGCAACCTTGAAAGAACTCATGTCCCTTCTGAGATTCGAACCCGCGTCACCCAGTGCTATTAACCTGATCTTTCTTCCAATATATTAATGCATTAATCAATGGATTCCAGCTAGTAGGTGATACGCCAGTCCCTCAAGAGGAACCCGTTTGGAGAGCGACGAGTTGGACGTCCAAGGGTGGCAGGGAGGAGATGAAGGCTTGTGAGCAATCGTGGGGCCAACTGAAGATAACTGCAGAGAACAGGACGAAATGGAGACGTATTGTTGAAGCCCTATGTTCCACTCGCCACAACCAAATGGAATAACAGTAATAACAATAATATCATATAATGTGATACAGCTAGTGCTATAACCTGACCTTGCAAACTAAAAAAATTACAAGAGCTCAAACCTTGGAGGTGTACAGGTTGAAAACCAAGTACTATGAGATAAATGAAGTATTGCACCCAAAGAAAAATAAAAATTAAAAAAATTATCTGTTAGGATTCAGCTTACCCATGTACCAAATATTTGGAGCAACCCAACCGCCATAAGGTAACTCTTGAAGATAAGCAGATGCTTCGTGATTGCCACCGACAAACAATGTTAAGATAGGCGCTCTAGTTTCCTCTGCATAGTATCTTTGGTAACGTAAAAGAAAAATCAAGACAGTATTTGTAATCAAATAATGCAGTTAATAGTTTAACTGATCAATTAATAGACACTTTCAAGTATGGCGAATAGGTACAGCATAATGACCACTAATCAAAAAACTACACAAATCGGAACTACCTTGATTGAATTTCAATAATGTGTAACTAGTAGCTGAGCCACACCGGTATATATATATATAGGTGAGTTGGCGGTCTAGTGGCAGAATACCCGTAAACCAGTCTCGACTCCTGACTGACGCACTGCCAAACTTCTCTCAACCGACAATCAGCCTAGTAAAAACGGGAGGCTGAGCACCGTGAGGCTAGTAACCTCACCCGGTGAAAACGTCACAGCACCTATCACCTCACAGATCAAGTTTGAAGTTCTTTATCCCACTTAGGAACGCAATGGCACAAAAGAGCAGCATTAAAAGAAACCAATAAATATGTATCTTTGAAAGTTTTGTTCAAATCCCGATGGAATGTATTTTCTACAACTTATATTCACAGGTAGAGAAACCTTTAATTACAAAAACTGTTATTTCACAATCGGTTTCCATGCAATTCTTGCTCACTTCTGTCTTTGTTAAGAAATTACTTTACATATTAAGCAATTACTTTCTAATCGTAAGTTATTTCGTTTCTATTTACCCCTTATAATCTACATTCACACTTCCATTATCACCGTTAACCTCCCTTCGTTTCTATGTTAGAGTGAGTAATAGTTGTGACTATGTAAACTTATGCATAAAAATGCGATTGTGACTGCTTTTGAGGATTGAATCGGCGAAAAGATATCTTTGTTGAACTTCTTGCCTCTTTCACTCTAATTTTTTAAGAAGATCTAAAATTATTATCTTATCACACTTCCATCTTCTTCTGACCTAATTTTTCAATAAATATCATTCAGCATAAAAGTATTTGCGCTAGGCATAAATTTTACATAAACAATTTGATCAATTCCTGTGTAACCAAATTAAAACATTCTGATGCTACTGTGTCACACATTTCAATCAGCTTTTGAAATACTCTTGATATTAGGCATAGTTTGTTTTTTTGAAGTGAGTGTTGCAGTTGGTTAACGTCAGTCCCTTTATCTTCGAAAATTCCATTATTACAGCAAAGTGCTTACTGGTTTTTCGTCTCAATCTATTAATTTCTAACCAGTTAATTAATTTGGTTGAAAACGAAAGATTATGATAAGTGTAACTAAAATAAAGTTGAAACCAAGAATCCAGATTCGCACCTCTTAAAGAATTGGTAGTCATCGTAAAACATACTACGACTGCGAATCTAAAGACCGAGGACCTCAAGCAGTCAGTCTACACCTCCCTATGTGGCTCAAACTCACTGTCTAAGACCTCTTACTTACTTTACTTAGGCTATCTCCTACGGGAGGATGAGCCGGCTTCATGAACATCTCGAATCACTGCTGCCCAGGCGCGGCGATCTGATGCAAGGTTTTGCGACAGGGTTATCCAATTCTTGTTCCACAGACGGAGTCCGTAGACAGTTTGTAGCCCCAGGCACTCCATATCAGCCTTGACTGTACGCCGTAGCATGGTGAGAGTCGTTCGTAAGAGAGTTCATGAAGTTTCATGGGAATTTGGTACGAGTGATGTCCCAAGAATCGCTCGGCCTTTTGTTTCAGAGTGCAGCTCTAGCCTTTACACAACCAAGTGTGACCTACAAGGCAGTAGGAGTGGAGTAGGGAGTCAACTATCCATTGGCAGCCGGTGACCGGAGTTCGGTTCATACGCCTTTTTGAATGGGGCCAGACATCCAGGACATCCAACAAGCCCTTTGTCCATACGTCTGCCGGTGAGCTCCAGTGAGCTTCATACGCCAGTCGTTGGAGGTTTGGAATCAGGGTTTAGCCATCTCCCCTAGACTGTCATCCAATGGACAGTCAACCCGGTGAAGAGCGCCGGGCATCCGCTTTTGCCCTCTCATTTTGGTGAAAAACACCTCCGCCACGTGAAGGCAGTGAGTAGGACTTCCTCAGGAGAAGCTATGTAAGACGCCCGGTCATATGGGAGCATTTCAAGAGGTGTGCAGAGGGGTGGCCAACCCGCAGCGCAAGGCACCCACGCCCGACCATCCTGAGGCTTTGGACTGATGTCCACTCTTTCCCAACCTGATCCATTCTGTGTCAGCTAAGATTACCTGTCGAGGAAAGGGATCGCTAGACATGCGCAACACACGTTCTAGCCATCTCAATAAAAGTAGCTTCACAACCTCATCGATTGATTTTCTTTCCTTACGTAACACACTGAACCAAGTCTGAGTATTACTCACTCTATTATATATATATATATATATATATATATACATATATATACATATATATATATGATGAGGTTCAGCCTTATTTCATTACCACCTACACATGACATTAGTAAGTACATCAACTATTTAAAAAGGCTCAAAAAACACAATAATGCTGATTATAACCGTTAAACAATGAAGGTATAATACATAAAGTATGTGACATACCTCCAGAAATCACCCATACGATAATATTTAGGTGGGATACTCATTGTATCTAGATCAGCAGGATTGCGAACAGATTGAAAATCTCCACAACATAAAACTAGATCAGTTTTAAATTGACCCTGTCGTTCAGCTTCTGCAATATTAGCATACACGCAATCTAACTCTCCATGCAAACAGCCTACTACACACACTTTCACCATAATTTTTACTTAATGTGATCAGTTACTTTTGAATCCTAAGAGAAGATTTCAAAGGTTAAAGGAAAGCAAATAAAGAATTTTATATAACTTCATAGTTTATTTAATATTATAGAAATAAATATATGGTCAATTTTAATAGAGGATTTCATTATGAGCTGACATCAGTTAAAGAACCACTGGAAAACCTGGGAGTACTGGACAGCTGTTTCCCCCGTCCTAGTTTGGGACTCTTCATCAGCACGCACACACCGGGGTTCGAACCAAGGACCTTCTGGTTACAAGGCCAGCGACCTCGTAGACCATTAAGCCACTGGGACCCAATCCAATGGCCAGTCCATGGATTCTAACTTCTGCCAATTCACGACATAGCGCGACCATTTCGCAATGTCTTCTTCGATGAGTTACTGCCTCATCTTCAACATGCTGTACCCTACTGGCCACGTGTTCCCACCAGAACCTCAGGTTCAGGTTAACTGCCTGAATAGGGCCAGTCGCTGGTAAGCATCAGATTAATTTTCAAGTATTGGTTTTGTAGGGATTTTTTGTGGTCGCGCTATGTCGTGAGTTGGCAGAAGTTAGAATCCATGGACTGGCCATTGGATCGGGTCTAAGTGGCTCAATGGTCTACGAGCTCGCCAACCTTGTAACCAGAAGGTCCTTGGTTCGAACCCCGGTGTGTGCGTGCTGATGAAGAGTCCCAAACTAGGACGGAGGAAACAGCTGTCCAGTACCTCCAGGTTTTCCAGTGGTTCTCTAACTGATGTCAGCTCATGATGAAATCCTCCATGCAATCAAACAAAAATCCCTACAAAACCAATACTTGAAAATTTTAATAGACTCAACAGTAATCTACTTTCTAGAGGGTAATATAATATAGACTTCGAAAACTACTGCATACGTTTCCTGGCAACAAACTAACCAAGAGTCGATTGCTCAACAGATATATGTAGGAGGAAATGGAGATGAATCGGGGATACTTCGAGGAGGCCGTCGAACGACACTGTACACAATGCAGGCCATTGCTCGAGTGGAATCCCAATGGGAAGCGATGAGTGTGTTGTCTGAGGGTGACATGAAGGAGATGAGAGATTATGGGCAACCGTGGACCCAGCTGAAGAGGACAACACCAAATATAACAGAGTGGAGATGTGTTGTTGAAGCCTTATATTCCACTCGGAACCCAAAGGAATAATAAAAATACTGCATACATTTGAAATAATGAAGCATGAATCAACATATTATGATGACACATTCATTTTTTCTAAAAATAGTGTTGTCTAATTCCGTTAGGGTATCCATTATATGAAAATATGGAAGTGATTGCAAAACACCTGAAAAACTTCTTCACCTCTTACACATTATTCACCGTAGAACATGAACTAAAAGGAGTTAGAGCAGAAAATAAAAAGAAATGTTGACTGGAATTCAAGTGGATAGCTAAGAAGTGAATAAGAATGAAACAAATAAGTAGTAATATTTGAGTATGATTATAAGAATAGAACTAAGTATATGAAACGATTCTTTAAGCTGCTAGCTATCAACTTTTGCAGTATAAACAACCCAAGAAAGATAATCTACTTTCAAACAACTCAGATCACTAGGTACCTTGTAATCCTATTTCTTATTCATCCACCTACAACTACCGGGGACTATTAGAAACCAGAGAGAGTGTATCACATAGTAGTCGTCTACACTGCCTTGACTACGAAAAGTCGAGGCAAATGAAAGTAATTCAAAAAAGGCATTTCTATCTGTTTTCGACATAGAACTTTGCACATATGTGCGGCAGTTCAAGTCACCACACTCCATGTAGCACACAAAGCAAGAGAACAAAGTAGGAGAAATGCATAACAGAGGTGTGAGACAAAGGAATAGTAATAACGAAGAACAAAACAGTTTCATTTGAAATCATAAGTCACAAGGAGTGGATGCATCTGCGCCAGTCATTGAGAACGATTTTGAGCCATGTCACCAATTGTTTCCAACCATTGGTTTTTACCGTCCCGAGGACCCCAACCAGGAAGTCTACATCTTCCTACGTTGCTGGCTTAAACTTACTGTTGTGGATTTCATTGACTGGTGCCATGTTTTGGTTTGACCACCGCTAGCTCTTTTCCAGCCTGACCCTATATCAGCTAACATTGCCCATTGTCGAGGAAGGCGAAGGCTAGATGTACGAAACACATATCCTAACCATCTCAGTCGATGTAACTTCACAGCCTCGTCGATTGATTTCCCCTCCTTACCTAACACTCGACCGAAGCCTCACTTCAATATTGCTCACCTTATTATACCACTTCACACGGGAGGTAGAACGCAGGCACCTATGCCCAAAGACAGCTAGCCTTACCATGTCTTCCACTCTCAATAGCCAGGTCTCACAGCCATAAAGGAGGACGGAGCGGACTGCTGAGCAGTACACACGCCGTTTGGTCGATAGTCGGATATCACGTCTACGCCAGAGACGGCGTAAACTGGCATATGCGAAACTAGCCCTCTGTTTCCGTACTGGGATTTCTTCAGAGATCAACCCGTTGGGGCTGATGCGTCGGACCATGCACATGGTCCGGGGTTCGATCCCCTGCCGGCGCACACCCGATATCTATGGTCGGCCTGAATTTGGGCGACCGATATCCATGCTGAAAATTCCACACTTGTACTGAAAATATGGTGTGGAATCAAGCTGCAAATCAAAATTTTTAAAAAAATAGTTCCCAAATAAGTGAAGTGGTCAACGTGCTCTACCACTTCACTCCCTATTTCTAAACTAGGAGTCAGTGTAGTTATATAAAACAGATATGTGATATTGCGACCAACATAAATAATAAACCTCAATGCATCTGCGTCACGGTATAACTCCATGCTAAACGTATTGTCTAAAGTTGCACATACATCACAGACTCTTGTGGGCATGCAAAAACTAGTCAAGCAACTTACATTTTCTACTAACTCAGATCAACACTCCATAACTTCACTCAGACTGCTCACTTTCAGCTTCATTACAGCAGAGTACCACTCCCAGTGACTCAATAAATTATGGTAGACATTCAGAAGGTAAGCGTAAGACACATTCCAGCCAAAAAAGGTCAAAACGATTTATGACTTAATTAGCTTACCTCACACTCTACATCAACTATATAGTGACTCTACCAAACACCAATAATACCACGAAAGCTCAAATAAATCCTTCACATTTGATCATCATCTTATGCTGCCATACACAAAAATATAATGCACTATCGTGCAGTACATTCGGCCTTCAGTGAACAATAGCATTTCTTCACTGTCCCATATATGAAGCAATTCACTGAAAGCCAAACGAGACTTATATTTCTACTACGACAGCATCGGTCAAAAATCAGTTAGGTCTGATGCAACTTACTACGTAAGTGAAACAGTGCTCAAACAAACACAATGTAATCTATGTAATTAGATGAAAAATCAGTGTAGATGACTCATGAATTTAAAACATAACAGTTTGAGTGGCGACAATTATAAGGTAAACATTTTTAACGCATCAGACGGCATATTCCAGGTGTTCGAATAAAAAGCCTTCATTGAGGATATCTACTTTCTGTAAACAATGTCATCATGAAACCTTCCAAACGATGCAGTAGAATCCCAACATATAGCTAATGCCTGGCACCAATAACTGCCACGGTATCCTAGGATTTGTCGAAGAGCCGATATATTTGATTTCTACATGACATCAGGGGGTCATAGGGCCTGGGATTTTAGGAAATACCCCTGTCAAACTTATTTTTCACAGTTATTAGACTAGAATTTTGAGTCTTTCTTAAAGATTGACATAATTATTGTTGGAGAAATGTTAGAGAAAATCATATCTCTGTCTCCAATACGTTAAGCAAAATCTAAGTCAGTTAGGTCAATACATCTAGTTCGCCAAGGTTAGTTCCTCTGGAAACAGTTAATCATACTCAGTTGACTTCATTTGTTGTTAAGGGCAATCTGCGTCTTCCTTAATTCAGAAGCAACGTAAATCCCCTACTCAGCACAAGACAAGATAATAGGCCGGAGGAACTACTCTTTTAAGTCAACTTTTGAGTTATTGACAGAAACGTCTTTCTTAGTTGTACACTTACTAGGACTTAGTTTCCTAAAGCCGAAATGTAAAACACCTTAAAACTACAACAAAAATAATTGTCAGTGTTTAAATTATTTCATTCTAAAGTACAATTACCATAGAGGCGACCACATACGGAAAGTATGGGATCCGGTAAAATTATCTAACGATCCAAGTGCATAAGAAAAGTGAGGAATAAAAACTCCAAAGACGAAAATACTACTACAGATAGATTACTAGCTCGCTAGTTTTCTAGCCGGTCCCAAGCCCGGATAAAGAGGGAGGGTTGGGGCGTGGTGCTAGCAACTCCACCCCCAAAACTTAACCAAATCGCTACAGAAACTTCAACGCATAAATATATTAAAAATACTACAGATAGACAGGGCTATGAAACAGAAATGAGGGGAACGCTTGCGTGTATAGTGAAATTTTTGGGGATTCGAACACAAATGTTACACGAAAGTAGTTAAGTCAATTTGTTTGATTAAAAAAAGGATACAACACAATATCATTCAGACTCGCAAACATCATACAGTCAATTTCACAGAATAGAGAATTTCGCATACTTTTTGCGTTATTTCAGTACACTAAACAACATAACAAAACAATTGATAATATACAATAGATTATTGTATTTTTTTTTAAAGCACTAAAAGTTACATTTACATAAGATAATGACCACTGATGAAGACAATCATAGACAAGTCATAAATCATGCATTCAAAAACATATTTTATCCATGAGAAGAATATAACTTTATCGGCGTTGATGATCACGTTGCGGTGGATAAAAACGATCATCAGAACCATGATATCGCATACCACCACCAACACCACCACCGCCTCGACCTGGCATACCGCTAAGGCTGAAACCGCCACGTAGGGCACCTACACCACGATTTTGCTGTCCTTGGTTCTGGTTCTGCAATAACAGAAGGGAATAAAACAAACAAAGGACAAGTCTATAAAAACCATTATTTCACAAAAAGTATATACATATAACTCAGTGAAATCAAATAAGCATTAGGATAGTTTAAGGGTTATATTATATGCGTAGACCAACAACAGTGAGAAACATTATTGACATAAAATAAGAGAGTGTAAAACCCCCTGGAAATGTACAGTACTATTTATTGAAACTGTCAACATACAGATTGATATCCACTAGGATAGTATGAAATTCTGTTGGAATCGGCGAATGGACCTCCAGGCAGAAGAGCTGGTCCATTGAAACCCTGGTTGTTAAATGTACTAATCGGTACATTGTTATTATTATTGTTGGCGGCGACGGCGGTGGTGTTTATGTTATTGTTGTTATTATTAGACCATCCAGATTGTGCATTGATTGAGTTAGCTATAGAAACAGCAGCTGCTATTGCAGCAGCTCGAGCAGCATTCATATTACTGCTCCCGCTACCACTGCCACTGCTACCTGGTGTAATACCACCAGGTCCAGGTGCTGAAGTGAATCGAGCCATTGGTGAACTTGAACTACGTGAACGCGATCTGTAGAAAAAATGTTTAAAATAATGATTGGTGATGCATATATAATACTTAAATACTAGTTCTTCACATTCAGTGGCTATTAATTGTAGCAACAAGATAAACTGCAGACATCTTATCTTTCATATCAAGACGAGTAACAAAATATGTTGGATCGTTTTAACAAGTCAACTTCCTACAAGCAAATCTTATCATCCTTGAATGCGAGGCAGTAACTCATCGAAGAAGACATTGCGAAGTGGTCGCGCTATGTCATGAATTGGTAGAAGTTAGAACTCATGGACTGACCATTCAATCGGTCGGGTCCCAATGGCTTAATGTTCTACGAGCTCGTTAGCCTCGTAACCAGAAGGTCATGGGTTCGAACCCAGTGGGTGCTTACTGCTGCAGATTTCCGAACTGGGAAGAAACAGCTGTCCAGTACTCCCTGCAGGTTTTCCAATGGTTCTCTAACTGATGTCAGCTCATGATGCAATCCTCCAACCAATCTTCCTTATTTTGCCATAACACAAACTCTTAAACAGAGTTATGATTGCATGAACTTTTATAGGCCTTTGCACACAATCTGGAACATCTTACTTGGCTAAATAATTTCCATTGTTTTAACAGTTAATATTTCCAAAATCCTAAGCCACTTTCCTTTTTATTTTACACTACAGGTTTAATACCTAATCTATGAAAATATTTCAGACCATAACATCAAACTGTGCTGGGTCAATATTCCAATCGACTTCAATTAGTAAGTGACGTCGAGCAACAGACAATCCCCTGAATGGAACCCGAATGGAAAACGATAAGTTGGGTGTGACAAGCAGGAGATGAGAATTTACGGGCAATCATGGAGCCAAGTAAAGACGACTGCAGAAAACAGAATGAAATGGAGATGTGCTGTTGAAGGCCTATGTTCCACCTGGAACCTAAGGGAACAAAAATAATAACTTCTAACTAGTAGATCAAGAGTGTTGGAATACAACTCAGTCTGAGAGATTGGAACAACCACATAGACACCAGTGTTCACACAACACGTGTGTGCGTGTGTGGACGTGTGGACGTCACATGTATGAATATGCGAATAACTGCAAACAACAGACAACTGGTGTCCCTGAACTAGAACTGGTTAGTTGTTTTATCATATCCCCAGACATAAACTCCATTTCATTGTGGACGATTTTTCCGAACCCACTAAGATGCACAGAGTACAATATAATGTTTGAAAAGTAGCCCTTTTACGCATAGATTGACTGCATATATCGATCTTATAACCCCACTACATTTTTATAATATAAATTGGAGTCAAATAAAGGAATCCGTTATATGCGTAATAATGCAATGTAAGCTTCCACACATTTAAAAACAGAAAGTACTGAAGTAGGCATATTGTAAATTTTGAAATGATAGAATTCAAGTATTACTGTGTTCTGTGGGCTGGATTAATAGCTTCATTCTAAAGGAATGTTGTCTAGGAAAACAATGAGTCCTGTGATTAATGAAACCGTACAGATTAGAGAACGCAAAACAATACCAAAATTACTATCGATTCGCTCAAAATGACCAAGTGTACACAATATAGTTACAAAATAAACTTATTAAGAGTTTTCGTTATACGTTTACACAATCAAACCACAAAATTAAAAATAAGTTCGAGAAATGTAAAACAACTGCTGACGACGACGAGTTTAAAATATTTAAATCTGAGGTTTATTATAAACTAATGCTAACCTGTTGCGTCTTCGACTTCTAGAAAAACCACGAGACTGGTTACTACTACTTTCATCATCACGTCGTGGTGATCCAGATTTCGAACGAGAATCACGAGAATCTGAACGTGATCGTGATCTGCTTCGAGAACTACGAGAATCGGATCGAGATCCTGAACGGGAGTGGAAATCACGGGAACGCGAACGTGACGCAGACTTTGAACGTGAGTCGGACCTATAGAAAACATTCATATATTAAAATAGTTAGAATCTTCATTTGAAATATTGTCTTGAATATTATACATTATTTGACGTGGATATGAGAAATCTAATTTCAATGTTAGCGTACCTGGAACGAGAACGTGATCTTCGAGATTCAAAACGATCAGCAGAAAATCCCGGAGGAGGTCTCTGTATGAGACCTTGAGGTATAGGGAGTGCTGGAGGCGGTTGATTAACAGGAGGAGGAAACTGGAGGAAACTTGTATTCGGGAATGCACCTGGGCCAGGTGGGATTGTACCGAGCAGGCCTGCCATTGGAGGAACTGGAATAGGAATCCCTGGATGCACACCAGTCGCCTTGTAAGCACTGTAGTTATGAGTAAGTTGTCCTTGCATACACTGCATGGGAGGAGGAGCCAATGTAAGTGCTTCATTACCAGTACGGAGAGGCTGACCAACTGCAGCTTTGGGATAAGCTGTTATATATGCAAGTTGTGGCGGTCCCAAAGAAACTTCACCATTTGTGGAGTCACGAGAAAACGGTTTATCGACATCAACTGTACAGTCACGTTGATCTGAAGCAAATCCACTGGTGAAATCGAGATCAGAATGACTGCTGGCATAACTACTACCACTATTCTGACGACGTCGATTTGATTTCCCTTTACCAGTAGAAATGTTATCTTTCTACAAAAATAAATAAATGTAACACCAACTTGGATTATTGTGAAAATAATAGTACAACGTATGAAACAGTATGTTTTATTTAGGAATAAGTTCACTGGCATGAAACTGCACATCGAAAATGTTATATGTTCACTCTTTCCACTGAAAGCAACCCGAAACCAAATAGCATGAGGTGGTAAAATGTGGATGTTGTATGAGAAATCAATAGCGTTCAACATAAAATACCAAAAATTATTCAATTGTTCATGCAGAAGTAAACAAAGCTGTGTCCGAACTCAGGGCTTATGGATTAACAATCAAGTAAACAAACCAATACAAAACACTTTCCAATACCGTAAAATGTAGTGTCTACCATCGAAACAATAACAGAATATATGACCAGTTCATTCACTTTCCCTATGAAGTGTATTTTACATTATTTGTTACGTTGCCAACAGGCAAGACAATTTACAAATATTGCCTTTTAATCGACTGCTCAAAATAATAAAAGAGTAGTCATTTTTATCTAGAGAATAAACTGTCCCTTTCAGTGAAGTGAAACGGAATTAAATCTCCATGAGATTAAATAGCATAGTGCATCTGAATTTAAATAGAAACTTCACAATTGTTCAGAGAGCATCGGTGGCTTGGCGGTAGAAAGCTCGTCAGCCATGCTTGTGGTCCAGGATTCAATTTCCGGCCGACATACTCTTTTACCTCGCTAAGCCGGTAATAAGACCGGTAAAGAAGGAGGGTTGGGCATGAGGCTAGCAACCCCATCCCTTAAAAAATAAACACCACTGCTACCGAAACTTCAAAGCTGTAGATTGAAGCTCTATATTCCACTGGGAATGTAAAGGAATCAAATTAAAACTTTTTGAAAATTAAATTCACAGTGGTTGCAATGAAACGGTAGAAAATGAATCCAAAAGCCTTAGAAATCTTGAAAGTTCTAGAATCAACGAGAAACTTTACACCGAAACACTTATATATAACAACGAACTTATATCAATTCAATGAATATATACAATACAGGACACATGTAGAAATAGCACGAATGCAAAGCTGAACAATGTTATGCGCTAGACAGTAGTCTATATTTACTGGGTATATATAAACATTCATAAAGTGAGTGGAGTTTGCATGCATGATCCACGTCTGACGATTTACAAATTTTCAACAGTTGGTTTGTAAGGATTAGATTTGTTTTTACGAGTTCGACTACGGATTGATATTAGTAGTTAGAGAACCATTGAGAACCAGGGAGTACTGGAAAGCTGTTTCGTACTTCTTGGGGAACCGTCGGCAGTACGCACCCACTGGAGTTCGAACCCAGGACCTTCCGGTTACAAGGCAAGCTCGTAAACCAATTTACAAATAACTTGTACAAATACAAGATCAATAATTAATTCATGAGAATTATTGAATGACGTCAGAGCATACCAAACTGAGTATCATCAATAGCCTATAGAGCTATTCTCCTGAATCAACACTTAACCAGATAATTGGTACATACGACAAACTGTGTTACTACTTTAGTACACACTCTGACTGCATAGATATCCAAACACGAATATCTTAAAGTATCTTTGTAATTTAAACAAGTTTCTTCCCGGTAGAACTACTTAATAGAATGCATTGAATTGCAATCAGATTGAAATATAAAATACCTCATCTTTTTCTTTTTGTTCAACAGGACGAGCACGTTCTTTTTTCGCGTAAAATTCATTCAAAGCCAAGTGTTCCCATCCTTCCCCGTCACGTGGTCTATCGGGTGTAGGTGGCATGTAGAAATTTTCCAGTGCTATAAGTAACCGCTCAGATGGTGTATTAGCAGGCAACAGTTGAAGATCACTCTCAGATATAGGAGTAAAGTCGAAATCTTTCAGTTTAATTAATGAATGCATTAATCCAGCAGGTAATTGCCATGCTGGATACTTTTCATTTATATCATAAGCTTCAACAACTTGTGTAGAAGAAGTTTCTATATCTTTTGAATCTTCCGTATCAGTCATTGGTGTTTTATTCTCCTCAGTACTGGTAGCACTTTTAACACTTTCACTTGTATCCGCTTTTTTCTCTGTACACGTTTCAGATTGAGATGGAGCAGAAGAAAATCTTGAAGGACGATTACCTCGAGATGTTCGACTCTTTCCATCACGATTGCTTTGACTATCTCTGCCATCTCGACCACTTCGATTAGATTCTTCATATTGTCGATAATCATTATTAACAGTATTATTGTTATTGTAATAACCACTATAGGAAGCTGAAAAATATTGAAAAGGAGATGTAACTAAACTTATACAATTGTAGAAATGTATAGATAAACTGAAACAGATTACACATATATACTGCTATTACTTCAACATACAACATAGGGTAAAGTATGAACAAATTTATTTCGAGGAACATCAATTTTAAATTTACCCTGTTCACCTATGAAATTTACGGTTTGAAGACAAAACTTTCTAGAAAAGCATATTCAAGAACAAGATAAATGGGTGCAGTCGACAATAGCAAAACAGGCATGTATTTGTACTTGTGTCTTGTAAAGGTTGTTAATTATAACTTTAGATGGAATGTTTAAAAATGAAACTTTGGATGCTAAGAGCAAGAGTAGATATCACTTCTACTGTGTAACAACTGAGCAATAGAAAATATTATGTACTTTCTAACTTAAACCGTTACAGCAACAGACAAAAATGAGAACTTTCCAGGATTAGCAACTCAGAGAACAGATAAGTATTACATTTATGTATGATGTGTGCTACCGACAAGAGTTTATAAGTAATAAATTAGTCACATTTTCTGCAAGAATCTTGATTAATGGAGTGAGGAATTAAGTTGTGATGAGGATGATTTATTATTATATTCCCTTGGGTTCCAAGTGGAACATAGGGCTTCAAAAGCACATGTCTATTTCATCCTGTTCTCTACTGTTGTATTTAGCTGACTCCACGTCTGCCTATAGTCTCTCATCTCCTCCTCATGTGAGATCTCCTCCATATTAACCTAAAAGCCACGCCCAACTCATCGCTTCCCATTCGGATTCCACTCGACACACTGCCTGGCGCGCAATGTCACGCAACGGTCTCCTCAGCATGTGTCCGATCAATTTCCATTTTCTTCTACATAATTGTTAGGCTATAGGTTCTTGGATGGTTCGTTCCCAGAGTTTCTTGTTGCTAATCCCTTCCGGCTGGCTATCTGATCTTCAGCAGAGAGCAAAAGGCAACAGTGGATAAAAGTCTACAAAAAGGGTGTTAGAAATACTTTTCGTGACATTCAGGCCAAGTTTCTGACCCATGTAGAAGAACTAACTTAACACTAGTGTTGAAAATCCGAATTTTGTTCTTTGTGTTGAGTGAGTAATTCCACCAGACTTCAACGTGATGAAGGTCTGCCTTGCCTTTCCGATTCCAGATTTGACTTCCTTATCCATTTAGCCTGTAGTTGAAACGACTCCTCTGCTAAATACCACCCATGTCCTTTCATTACACACTGACTACTTTTCAATGATCGAGTAGAACATTTTTCATCAAAGTTCAAAAAAGGTTAGTTGTTCCCTTAAGCAACTAGATCTGCATTTCTAGTATTCCATAAATTTCTTCAAAAGTTGAAACATGCTTGACTATGAGTACCAAGAGGTAATAAGAAGGACACCAGTTACTTGTGGATAAACACTTTGGAAGGTCCTATATCAGCCACAGTATAATTCAGTGTAAAGCATATCATCTCAGTTGACATAATGAAAACCTGACAAATACATAAATAAGCTACTGTTGAATAACTGGTCAATGGATGTATTCTACATATATGAATACACTGAATTATATGGAATGAATTATATGAAGAACAAGATTCGGATTTTCAACACAAACGTGAAGTAAGTCAGTTCTTCCGTACGGGTCAGAAACATGGTCAACGCGTCATTTCCAACAGGTTGCAGACCATTATTAACAGCTGCCGCCCTCGCCGGCTCCGTACTAAAGGTCAAATGGCAGGCCAGAAAGAATTAGCAACAAGAAACTCTGGCACCAAGACAACCAAGAACCGATTGCTCAGCAGATATGCAGAAGAAAATAGAGGTGGAGCAGGCATACTTTGAGGAAACCGTCGAGTGACATCGCGCGCAATGCAGGCCATCGCTTGAGTGGAATCTCAACAGGAAGCAACAAGTGGGTCGTCTTATGGTAACATGGAGGAGATCGTTTGGGGAGGAGGAGATGAGAGATTATGGGCAATCGTGGATCCAGCTGAAGAGGAGTGCAGAAAATAGAAGTGGAGATGTGTTGTTGAAGCCGTATATTCCACTCGGAACTCAAGGGAATAATACTTTTTTTAAAATAATTAATTTAAACTGAAGAGTCAAAGATTTCTAATGAACAGTTTAACTGATAAGAAAGTTGTTGCTTTACACTCCTTATTACTCACTTGTTTTCTCATTGGATTTTTTTTTCTTGTCTACAGCAACTTTCAAAGGAAACAAATGAATAATTACGAAAATCTGTCAACATTGTAGGAGTGAATGAATATACATTATGCATCTAAATATAACATCTTGAGTTTTCAAACCATCATTACGATAGCTAACATTATGCATAAACGATTGTCATCCTAAATGAAGACGACAACCAGTGGTTTCCATCAGAAATGCCCGTTATAAACATTCTTACTTAATTTCAGTAAATACGTACTCACTGATATGAACCTGCCCGACCTGAACATTTCGAAAATTGACTTCTTACACGGATAAAGTATAGGTAACTTAGAGTATATATATATAATATATACATGCAGTTTGCTCCATTTATGACTTGTTTTCCCCCTGAATCTAGCTTGTTCCCGGAGAAGTCTTCAATCCAGGGTATCATCAAGTTTTTCCAGCATGATGGAGCTTAATATTTTGTTTAGGATGAACAAATGTACTTTAACTGCACGATATTTTCAGTACTACGTGAATATAAAGGAAAAATATCACAACGGTCGTGTATACTGCAGTTCCAGCTTAAGACCAGAATAGATTAAGTTATCCCGAGATAGGAGAGGTTAAATTCACAATTACCTGATTCACCTATGATGAAGAATGTTAGAAACAAGGCTAAATACAACAATAATAATTACAGAAATTAGGAACCCATATTTTTACGTAATAATGTCCGCATGTGGCAGCAAGAGAAGAATGAAAGTGATGCACTAAAATCCAAATGTGTGAGTAACACTTTTAATTATAATTTAGCACTACATGGATTTGATTAGTTACAGAGGGGGTTGATCCACGAGCTGACATCAGTAAGAGGACCACTGGACAACCAGAGAGAGTTGGACAGCTGTTTCTCCATAGTTTGTGACTCTTCACCAGTACGCACCCAATTGGGTTCGAACCCAGGACCAGGGAGAGCTTGTAGACAATTCAGCCACCTGGACCCGACCCAACAGTCCATGAATTCTAACTCCTGCCAATTCGTGATGTTTTAGTTCACTTAACAGTTTTCCACGATTTATACTATCCAGAAGAATGAAGACTTGATATAATAGCATTACTGCTGCTGCTGCTATTGGTCAGAAAAATAATTAAGTCAATGGGGTTGCAGACTTATGCATTATTTTCAAACACAATGGTCACCTTTCCTTTGACTTCAGTGGAGTGTGTGAATACTTTTCAACTTTGGTCATATTACCATCAGTCTACTGTCATTTTTATTTATTTATTTATTTAGGCCAAAGAACCTGGTACAATATAGGCACCAAGAAGATGCGTCATTACTGACTGATGTGCCATTAAAGTATCCATTACAGTCCTATGGGAGGTCAATCGCAAGCCCGCATAGCTTGGTCGTAACGTCTCTGACTGTAGCACTGGGTGACCTGGGCTCAAACTTCAAAAACGACATAAATCCCTTCAAGACTGTATATGCACCTTGTTGACGAGTGCCAACAATCACGAAACCTATGTCAAACGCTCCCCCTGTCAACCACCTTAACACTTAAAATCCATGAAAAATAATTGACCAAAATTCAGTATTCTTACTATCTTTTTCTGAAAATAGTCAAAAATGAAATCTACTGTACACCATGGTTTAGAATTATGAAATACACACTGATGACAACAGGATCCAAATAATGTTATAAAACGCAATAGGATAATAGTCTAATACATAGTATGCTGTGATAGTGGTAAAACGCTTACGTGTTTCTAAAAAGTGAGGAATAAATAACATACTTCATATATATGTAAAAAGAATCAGTATCTTGCAGAGGAAGTCATATCGGTAATTCAAAAACTTAGAAGAAACGGTAACTGACTGACTCCTCTTCAACACAGAACTATGTACAGAAAAGCAGCACTTCAATTTGCCAAACTCCATTTAGCGCACAAGGGGTAGACAAAAGAGGGAAGAAAGGGATTCAAAATGACTAAATTAAGCAGAAATTCGAGGAAGAAAGAATTATGCCTAGTCATCGCCTTCCTCGACGGGCAATGTTTGCTGATATAGGGCCAGGCTGGAAAAGAGCTAGCGGCGGTCAAACGAAAACATGGCACCAGTCAATGAAATCCACAACAGTTAGTCTAAGCCACGTAGGAAGGTGAAGACTTCCTGGTTGGGGTCCTCGGGACGGTAAAAACCAATGGTTGGAAACAATTGGTGACATGGCTCAAAATCGTCCTCAATGGCTGGCGCAGATGCATCCACTCCTTGTGACATATGATTTCCAATGAAACTGTTTTGTTCTTCGTTATTACTATTCCTTTGTCTCACACCTCTGTTTACTGTCTCTAATATGCATTTCTTCTACTTTCTTCTCTTGCTTTGTGTGCTACATGGAGTGTGGCGACTTGAACTGCCGCACGTATGTGCAAAGTTCTATGTCGAAAACCGACCGACCGACCGAACACAGAAAAATATCAGAGTTTAATGGGTATAAGAGATGATCAAGAGAATGATTTTAAGTCACATCCCCAAAAGTTTCGAGTCATTGGTTCTTAGCGTTCAGAGGATACCACAACCAGGCAGCCTACAACTCCTTACATGGCTCAAACAAACCGTCAAAGAATTCATGTACTGATGCCAAATACTTTGGTGAAGTAATAAAAACATAAACCCTTGAAACAGGCGAAAACATCAGTCAATTTCAAAGATTGTTTGTTTAGGTTCAAGATGACAGAATACTAAATATACTTATTGATAGATGAATAATCGACTGCCTGGATAGACTGAGAAATGAATGGTTAACTGTGCAATACTAAAATACCAGGGCAAAAAGACGAACTGATACTTTCAATAACAATAATATTGGAAACGTTTATTTCCAACTAGCAAGTAAGTGCAGATACAATTACAAATATATAACTAATTTTTTTACTCCTTTACGTTCCCAGTGGAACATAGTGCTTCAAACTACAGGCTTGAAGTTTCTGTAGCAGTGGTGATTATTTTTACAGGATGGGGTTGCTAGCCTCATGCCTAACCTTCCCTCTTTACCAGTCTTATTACTGGCTTACCAAGGTAAAAGACTACGTCGGCCGGGAATCGAACCCCGGACCACATCCGTGGCCGGAGAGCACTCTACCCCTGTGCCACCGACGCACATAACTGTAATAGTTATACAAAAAATACCATGGACTAATTATGTGCTGCAACATTGGGATGATTAGTGAGTGGTAGTCAACGCGGTGAAATCTGATTGGTCAGTTATCTGATAAATGTGAAGGAGATCAATACCTATGTAATTTAAATTCTGAATGACAGAGTCAAAAACTTATTAGGTAAAGCTGAAAATTAAAATAAGTTGCTTGCATGCTGTAATATTCTCCTTTCTTCTCTTTTCGAAAGTAATAGGTAAGTGGGTAATGAACACTCTCCTTTGATACACACGCATGCACACATGTTGCATTTTCTTTATCAACTAAATTATTTCTCTTTTCTTTAGATTTTTATAAGGTTACTTTGTACAGCACACATCTCTTGGTATCAATAATGTACTTAACACTTAATTCAGATAGGATCAACTCATAATAGACAAAGATGCCTTCGTCTTCATAATGAAGATCAGATGGCCAGCCGGAAGGGACTAGCAACAAGAAACTCTGGGAACGAACCAACCAAGAACCTATTACCCAACACGCTGAGGAGACCAGTGAACGACATCACGAGCCAGGCCCTTGAGTGAAATCCGAGGGTGATATGAAAGAGATCACATGAAGAGAAGATGAAAGAATATAGGCAAACGTGGAGCCAGCCAAAGACAATTGTAGAGAACAAGAAGAAATTGAAATGTGCCTCTGAAGCCCTGTTCCATGTTCCACTCGGAAGCTAGGGGAATAGTAATAATAACAATATAATACACAAAATGGTGACAAGAAACTAGCTAACTAGAGGTAATGTGAATGGAATAACACAAGATCACGAAAAGCAGCCTAATAAGCTAAAGGCTGAAGTATAGATATGCATACATTTTAGGCACGAATACAAGGAGTACTAACTTAATGATCGAATAAAGCTTTGCAAACAGTTATAAGTGGCAAGTCAGATAATACTATTTTTCCCCAGGGTTGACACACAATATTTGATACTGATTAACTTACTACAATCATACGATGAAGCGGAGTATTGAGATTGTTGTTCATCATCTGGTTCTTCACCTTCTATGTAGACATTGCTGCTCAATTCATGATTCCTGTGTCCAGATTGAGTGTTATAATTAGGCATAGATTGGTTCCATTTAGAAGAATCCCGCTGACCAGGCGGTGCCCATCCCATTTGAGGAGGATAACCCGGTCCACCAGGAACTCCACCTGCACCAGCATTGCCTGTATAACCTGGCATATGTGGTGGGGGATAACTAGGCATTCGACGTTGCATATCCCTCATATCCGAGCTATTCATCATTTCTTGTGAACTCATATCGTATCCAGTGGAACCTTGTGATGGTGGTGGCGGCCCCCAGTAAGCAAAATTAGGATCTACACTCTAAAGAACAAGGGGAAACAGTGCATAAATAATGTCATAAAATTCAACCCAACAATTGGCACTATGAAAATAGTTTTGATAAAGCAAGCAACAGTGATTTGTTGCAAAAACGCTTTCAAAATGACACCACCTACACAAAAAGAAGCCGGCTGTTCAATATCCAGGGATATTCCCACATTTGGATGAAATAAGAGGTTGAAAGTTAGATCTTAGTAAAAATAGGTTAAAATCCATTATTTATATTAAAAACTAATATCGTGTTAGCGAAATTTTAAAAAATTCATTGTTAATTCACACAATTAGCCAAAAGTAATTCAAACCACATTCAAACGGTTAAAAGTTAAGAACAAACTTGGCAAATGAAAGCCGTAAATCCTGTGGAGCTTTAAACGCATTTTGAAACTTCCAGTCATATAGTTATTTTCAATTTTGATATTAAAGTTGAGAAAGCAGACCCAATCAACTAGTCAGAAAGTTTTATATGCCTGTTAAAAGTGAACTAAGTAAGGGTTATAAACCATCTATCCTAAAAAAATATATATTCATGTCTCATAAGAAAATGAAAATTTTGAATATTTGAGAACACATGGCAACATGACAACCGCATAAAAATAACTCAAGAATATGATAGCCGTTACACTAGGATGTAATTTGTCGTGGATTAATAATTTACAAGATATGTGTAAGCATACACAGCAGTTATTCTCAACTGAACAACCACCTTCAAAGCTAAGTAATAAAAACATCTACCACACACGTACCTTTCTGTGGGGTTGAAGACAATTAAAATAGAACTACATATTTTATAAGTGTTTCTATCGCATAGCGAATAATTTAGCATTTAGAAAACTATCGAAAACCAAGGAGCATTGAATGGCCGTTTGGTTTTAGTTTGGGACTCTTCAAGAGTATACATCCATGACTTTAACAAGGATCAAAGCTAGGGCCTCCAAGTTGAAAGGCAAGGCAAGCATATTAGTATTCAACGACCAATAAATCCTGGCTTCTGTCAGTATACAGTTGCTGCTGCAACCATCTAATATCATCAGCAAGTATCTCACTTTGTACTTCAATGGACGCCTCTTAAGAACTGAAGGTAGTGTTAATGGCGATAGATAGATAGACTATATGATAAACAGCCAATCAATATTATGTGACCTTCTTGTCGCGATTATTGGTTAATTTAATGTAACCCACACCACGTGATGTGACCTTGAGTGTTCTTTATTGTCTGTCACTTTATTTGTGTGTACATGTAATTAATTAACTGTTCATTTTGTCCGTTCCCTCAATACTGTTGTGTACATTTTTGTGCTTTTTTGAATGACAGTGGATTTGTATATTTTTCTTGTGTTTTAGAAACAGATAAAGTTTAAGTCAAGTCATTCTGTTTTTAACTATAGTTAAGCCAAGACTCTGTGTCGTCAGTATTGAGGAAGGACTAAATCTGTAGGCAAAAATAATCCTACAGGTAGTTCATCCTTTAGTTAGTCACCGACCGACAGGTGAATCATTTTCCTTAACTAATGAAGAGCTTCATATTGATATAAAATTAGATACTGCCATATTGCCCAAGTTTTACACATATAAAAATAATAAGTAATGAGCTGTTCAGTGCTTCCTGGTTCTCAATGGTTATCTGACTGACTAATGCCAGTTTGTGATGAAATCTGCCTTGAAATCAATCCAGAACAGAGTCTAGAAAAAGATACTCAAAAATATTATGACCATTTCATCCAATAATTATACAATTATCGTTTCAACTGCAGGTGACAGCACGGATGAATCATGCCAACGCAAGGATCGGAAAACCAAGACAGACTTTCCATATTCTCAAATCACTCGAAAAATCTACTGCAGTCTGAACAAAGAACGAGATTCGGATTTTCAACACTAATGTCAAGTAAGTTCCTCTATATGCTTCAGAGACTGACGTGTCACAGAAAGCATTTCTAACATCCTCTTGCAGACATCCATTAACGACTGCCTTTGCTCCATAATGAAGACCGTATATTCAGAAAGGAAAAGCAATGAGGAACTCCAGCAGACAACGAACCAACCAACAATCTATCGTCCAACAAATATGCTGAAAGAAACGCAGATGAACCGAACACACCCTGAGGGTACAGCCGAGTGACGTCGAGAGCTGCTGCTAGGCAATCCCTAATGAAAAAAGATGAGTAGGGCGTAGGTCCGGGGGTGACATGGAAGAGATGAGAAACCATAGGGTAAACGTGGAGCCAGCTGAAGAGGACTGTGGGAGACAGGATAAAATAGAGATGTGCTTTTGAAGCCCTATGCTCCACTTGGGACCTAAGTGTATAATAATAATAATAATAATAATTGCTCGAGATAAACTTTAACATGAAAGAATTTTGACCACATATCCAAGCACATTCCACGAAAGTCGCGACTTGCAGAACTTGCGCTGAAGATAAACTGCAGCAGCCAAGAAATAACCTTGAGCAAGCAAGCATGTCACTAGTCCTGAATGCAGTGTAAGTTAAGAGTTTTATTAAGGTTAGGAATTAGGGTTAAAGATTCGATTACAGATATGGGGTTAGGTCTAAGATTAGGGTATGGTTCAGGAGTCCGGGTAACACAGAATCGCCCTAAGAAGCAAACTAAACATTTGTACATACAATTTATCAACAAACTCAACGCTTTTTACAGTCATTTATTTGGATTGCTTATTATTTAGTAGCTGCTACAGTTTATCTTCAGGAAAGTCCTTAGCAGGAGTGATGCTAAAGCATGCCCTTAAACTCAACGGTTTTAATGAACAAGTTTCGCTGTTCTGCGGCGGGGTATGTTGTTTGGTAGGTAGCCAGATCTAGGCAGTAGGCTTCAGAGTTAAACATATAAAGTTGCACCTTCATTGCAACAGGAATGCTTCGTTCTTACTAATATCCCGATGTCGCCCATTCAAACTGGTGAATTTAGGGGTATTGCTTTAACACACACCACTCTTCTGCCTTTATCTATTCTCTTAATGGGATTGATACTGACATCTGTTCAACTAAGGTACTGGTAAATATAAAGGACAGATATCACAGCCAAATAACCTACAGTCAACTGTGATTAGATTGTTATCCTTTCAAAATGATGAATTTATTTATGGAAACTGGTTTGACGTGTCAAATGACAACACCATATGAGAAACTGCGACATACCTATTACTGCAAAAATATGCCACCGTTGTAGCTTGAGTGAGGTATCCATTCCACATAGTTGCCTCTAGAATATTCATTAATCATGTCTGTGCATACTGACAAGCTTTACAACAATAACAACAACTTTTATGCCTTTCCATTATGTCGTTATGTATGTAGATATGTCCAGGCCAAGTTGTTTACATTTAATAGTTTGCAAACATTTAGGGTATTAGGTGTATGATATTCAAAAAGCTTTCACGATATGATATTAATAACCTTCACCTTTATAATCAATAAATAGAGTACTACTCAATTTGTTCTTCTTGCTCTGCTGTTCGCCTTGTAACTAATTGTGCTACAAAAAGGTATTACTAACAATGCATGATAATAAGCTTTCAACGCAGCTAAGTAAATTCAAGCAATTCCATCTTTGTATTCAAAAAAGGTATAGGCGTGCCAGGCGTTTAAGAATTTCATGAATTTATTCCCCTGGACGATTTGAATAAAGCAAGAACAACAGTGGTACCATCATTTATTTCGTTGGCTTTTCATCATCTGCTTACAGCCTAAATAAATTATGAGGTTTATGTACAGAAAAATTGTAACATAATTGCAAATTTTTCATGATGTCAGTTGACAGAAGGTTCCGTAATTGGTGAACAGTGCTCATAAAATTGCGCTTATATAGTTTCTACACAGGCAGTTCAAGTTTAAGAATTTTCCAAAAGGAATCCAGCAATAAGGTATATATATATGTATGTATATGGGAGTATTAGACATGTTTCGTCCTAGTTCGGGACTCCTCATCACTACTCACCCACCACAGAGGTTCGAAACCAGGACCTTCTGGTTACAAGGCTAGCCAGCTCGTAGACCATTAAGCCAATGGGACCCAATCCAATGGCCTATGAATTCTAACTTCTGTCAATTCACGAGCTCGCCTTGTAACCAGAAGGTCCTGGTTTCGAACCCCTGTGGTGGGCACATACTGTTGAGGAGTCCCGAACTAGGACGAAACAGCTGTTCAGTACTCCCAGATTTTCCAATGGTTTTCCGACTGATGTCAGCTCATGATGAAATCCTCCAACCAATCCTATTTCATCATGATACGAGGCATCTGTTATAAAAGCTTCATTGTATTATAGAAATAAGCAGTTAACGAAAAGAATGTCAGCATTAAAAGAACAGATAACTTAGGTTTATAGGTATACTTATTCATTGTCGACCAAAAACGACTTGACACAAATTAATTCAAACTTTAGTAAATCTTACCTTTAAAAATCATACAGAAATGAATTAGTTAGTTGACAAACGATGGACAAGAGAATCGGTGCAAAACCTTGCACATAGATGAGTCAGCTTATGTTACTGTACTTCGAAACACAACACTAAGAAGAAGCAGAGAGATATAGGAAAGTACTAAAATTGACAAAATCGAGATCTGAACGACTGCATTTTCCCTCTGAATGGATGGGTTTTGACTGATAGAGGTTTCACCGTAATGCTAGACACTGTAATTTTTGTATAAGCACTTCGCACGTATATCCTCAATCTTAGTTACGAAAATACCTCACTGTCTCAAAACACACAAACTCGAAGACCTAGAGACGAAAACCAACAAGTTGGCTGCAGAAGCAGCGAAGACAGAGCTTCAAGTGAACATGGAGAAGAGAGCGGTGATGAAGATAACCAACCAACCAACCAACCAACAACAACTGGCAGAAATCACTGTCAACGGAATAAATTTGAAAGAAGTCACTTCTTCCACTTATTTGGGCATCATCGTTTCAAATACAGGCAGAGAGGGTGAGAAAATCGAAGGCGAGATCGGAACACAAAGACAGACTTTCCATATTCTCAAATCACTCGAGAAATCTACTGCACTCTGAACAAAGAACGAGATCCGCATTTTCAACACTAATGTCAAGTCACTTCTTCTATATGCTTCAGAGACTTCACGTGTCACTGAAGGCATTTCTAACACCTTCTTGCAGACTTTCATTAACGGCTGCCTTCACTGACTCCATACTGAAGATCAGATGGCCAGAAAAGAGTAACAATGTGAAACTCTAACAGGCAGCGGAACAGCCGAAAAACTTGTCCAAAAAATACGCCAAAGAAAATGTAGATGGATCGAACATACGCTGAGGAGAACGCTGAGTGGTATCGTACGTCATACCCTCAGGTGGGATCCCGATAGGAAAGTACGAGTTGGATTTCCGAGGGAAACATGGATGACATCGTGTGAGGAGGAGATGAGAGCCTATGGCTAAAGAAGACTGAAGAAAGCAGGATGAAATGCAGATGTGCTTTTGAAGTCTGTGTCCCACTTGGAACCCACAGGAATAATAACAAGTGATGTGATGGAGACTGGTTAGATGAATATTAGTAAAGCATATCAGTGAGCTGTTGCTTCGATAGTTAATTAGATATTTTGTAGGCAGCAGAAATGACACGCAATTCGGAAAATGTCAGATGAACTTCCTTTATCTATCATAAAATTCTAACACCAACCAGTTTCATAAGAACCGGTGACATTCCCCAAATAAGGTAGATGGTTAAAGCATAATCTTTTTGCATTTATTCTTTTATTGACAGAAGCTAAATGCATGTAAAATATACTCAGATAATCGCTTATAGCATTGGAAATGCTGCATTTTGTAAGCTTGTTAGCCTGAGAGAAACACTGATACAAGAATAGTACTTGGGTACTGTGGTAGAGTATGATTCCAACATTGAGTAAATTTATTTGATACAAGCATACATATGACATTTCGATCACAATTTATTGCTCATAATCACAGCAAGACTACTTGATTACAGTATGGTTGCAAGATATTATGATTGAGACGTCATCAGTAATACTGTATCACTGTCCGCTTTTATCATATCAGTTTACTCTAAAAGAACCGTATCGGTCGCACACCACGAATTGACCTGACACCTCAGTCCTTGAACATCCAAGCTGAACATAATCAGTTAACCACAAATCTGTAGCTCAGGTGGATGATTTTGATGTAATTGTGTTCTCTGAGCTGGGTGGTTTAATTGCCAAGCTTTCATTAGCTTTGTAGACAAAAATCTTCAGAACAAACTTCAATATGAAATGAACTTATTCGAATTCTCCGTGAATGATGCAATTATCTCTTGTCTTTTCCTACAAATGGCTGTTAATTTGCATCAGAATTGATTGTTTGCAAATTAACTCTTTTGTCACGTGACTTAATCTTTATTAGCTGATAAATCTGATTTATAATGTGTCTGTTGATCGTCGATCCGTCTGAGTACCAGGCTTCTAGGAATACCCTGGCACTTCCCAGTCAAACTAGTCTTCATAGTAGCCTACATGCATTGATGTGAAAGAATACTTGTCGTGTCCTTTTGACAGCTAATTTACCTTCTTCAGATTGCAGTCGAAGAGGACGGCTACCCTGACCAATTTAGTATTTATCACAACTCACCCAGATCAGAGAACACAATCACGGGAAAAAAAGTCAGTTAAATCAGGACTTTTACAACAAAATCAAGTAAACCTGGTAGAAGCGATTGTAATCACTTCAGATGCAACTCCTCAGAAGGTCCTACACGGTTGCAACAGTTTGATTAGCCCAACAATACCTCTAAACTCTCTACGCAAGGTAATGGAAAATATTTTTTACCTTAACAGAGTTGAATGTCGACGGCAAGAATATTTTTATTCTAGAACTTGCCACAAAGTGGAAATTCGACTAGTGTAACTTCATCCATATCTGAAAATTACGTGGTTTTCCCCGAGTGATCAAGTCTAGTTGCCCCTAGAGTGAATTTGAGCTCTGTAATCCTATTAGTCAAAAATATCAAGCCATCGAAATAAGAGTAAACGCCTTTGTCATGACAATAATACGTGCAAATAAGCACTAAAGTATGAACCCAGTAATTCACAAGAATGTCGAGGAACGGTGTGTGCTTGTCTCTTTGATAAGCCTGCTGAAACATCTTTACACGATTGTGAACACTTAACATATTTCTTTGTTATTTGTCTTGAAGACATCCAGTTTCGACAAAGCTTGTCACTAATTCTTGAATACTTTCATAATATTATCTCACTCTTAAGTATCAGTTGAATAACATGCTCGCGAAAGGTCATTGAAGAAAGCCTATGAACGGACTACTTTACGGCTGCTAAAACAGTGTAAATATCGATGCAGTACTCTAAATTCACAAGTTGCACAAACAGACTGCTTAGACCTCATTCTATGAATCACATTTCTAGTATATACAGCTAGTATTTATTGTAGAGCCCACATTTCGCTTATCACACTAATCCTAATATTTGTACACACATATATACATGATAAAGTACAATGGTACCAATGTGAACAAACCTGCATAGAATGATGAGATGATCCGTACTGTGAATGATGATTATCAGATCTAGATTCATCAGACTTATCAGAATGTGATGATGCTAACTGACGACGAACATGATCTGCAAACTCTTGATGTTGTCTCTCAAGGCTAGTATATTGATTTTTAATATTTGACTTTATTTTGTCTATTTCAACTTCATACGGCTAAAGAAAAAACAAACAAATAGATAAGGGGATATGAAAAGGTTGAAAGTGTAAACCACATAAAAAGTATGCATTTCTGGTGGATACTAGAGTTTCTTCTTCTTCACTGAATCGATGATACTTTTGTTAGACAATATTTTGCCGGCAAGCATCATTTATTGTCAACACGTAACACTTGGTAAGAATATGAGTATAGGAGTAAAACTTGATTATTGTGCGATAAAACGTAATTATATTAGTTCACTCCATATCGGATGCACTGATAGAGTCCTATTTATTACCGATGTTTGGGGTTACAGTTTATTGCTTATAATTCCATACCACGCCTCGTTAGATCAATTCACACAGATTTACTTCTTCTCTTCCTTGTGCTTTATCCTGAATATACAAAATATTCTAATGGCTAGTGAGTAATAGACAATGCAAGAATATAAGATTGTCGTTTGAACTCAATAACCCTAACCCAAAGCAAACCCCTCGTGTACCACGCTAAGAGCCACACTCATATCGTGTAAGGGCTGATGATACTACGACGCAGTTGTCAAAGTCCATCGGCTGAAACCACGCCACACCGCCACACGAGAATATAAAACCAATTCAGAAAGAAGTTTAATCACTACAGTGTGATTATAAGTATAAGAAACCCCGATCAAAACGCTACTCAGTAAGTAATACTATAACTTTGTGTTCCACCACATGACATAAACCAATCCAATAAGCAGCAAAAGATTGAAGTGATTACACTAAAGCAATTCAATTTTGTGCGTCGGTGGCATAGCGGTTAGGACGCTCGCCGACCATGCACATGGTCCGGCGTTCGATCCCCGGCCGGCGCACTCCTTTACCTCGCTAAGCAAGAACTAAAAAATCTGGTGAAGAGGAAAGGTTGGGCATGAGGCTAGCAACCCCATCCTGTAAAAATAAACACTGCTACAGAAACTTCAAGCCTCTAGCTTGGAGCCCTACGTTCCACTGGGAACGTGAAGGAATTTAAAAAAATACTGTCTTGTTTTTGAAGTATGGCAAGAGGGTGAATTCTCCACATACATGGAGTCTATGGTGAATAACTCCCGCTTACAGTTGTTGGATACCACCGTGAAGAACAACAGAAGAAATGCCTCTCTTAACACTTCTTGCTGAATCAATTCGTAAGGATTAATGTATGTGTGATTGTATAAAAATCAACAAAGTAAACTTTCCAATAAACCTTTATGTACTTTCTCGACTTATAATTTTGAATATTATATCGAAGTCTTCCACATTTTCCAAAAACTGGCTGGTGCGCATCTTCATCAGCAAAAGCATACACTCACAATCTACTTATTAGCTGATTCAATTTCTGTGTTTAACCACTCAAATACTAGTAAACAATGGTGGATAAGTTCACACAGAAAAAGATTTCGGTTAAACATTTTGTAGGTTAGCAACAACACATTAGCGGTTAGTTACATATCAAAAACAACACGGACAACAAAAAAACACTACTCATAAAAACAAATAACAAGGTTAAGTAGGCTAAGTGAAGTTTTGAATACGTGATAAGGAACGGCTCCCCTTTGCAATTACTCCCCCCAAAATATTTTGAAAAACAAGCAATAACAACAACGTTATCAAGTAAGTGACATCATTGTTTGAAAATCTCAAAAAAATAACATTTGTAGTTCACGAATAGGATTATTTTAGTAGTATTGTTCCCATTGTTTCACTTTTATACGAATTAATCACATCTTGTATTATTTATTGTCGAAAAGTAACCAAAACATACATATATATACAAGAAAATAGGCAGAAAATAAGACCATGAAATACTAGATTCATCGTAAGAGTTATTGCCTTTACATACCTAAAATCTGCATATTCTCTATTACTTGCATAAGAAAGAATTCAATGAATGCTTTAAATAATTAAACACCAGTTTACTGACGAAATGGCTTGATCACAATTGCATAAAAACAACACAGTAAGCTAAAATTGAATTAACTAACAATGAGTGTCATCTGCAGCATAATGGATACACACATCACTTTTGATGAAATACTGTCAACTGCTTCCAAACACCTAAAAATAATTCGTAGCACACCACAACGGAGAGCCTACTGGCCTAGTGGCCGTACAGCAAACTTGACTCATGGAATTCAGTCAATATCATGACCACAGATCACTCTAGAAAGACGACATTAGCTATGCCCTGATGACAAATCGATGTATCAGACGACGGTCCAAGGGAAATCTATTGCACACTATTCGTACACATATCAAGTATCAAATTCTTTCAACTGTAGCAGTACGAAACGTGTCGCAATTTTCTCCACTTAACCCTGAGAAATCTCTTCAATTAGATAAATGCTATAAATGCGAAATTCAGGGAGGATTAAAGAGGCGTTGATGAATTTTTCCAACTACCAACTACTCAGTCTTCAATTTTTAACCACTGACAGATGAGAATTTTCTGAAATCTACAAAAAATCATGGAACCCAGCAACCTCTTTATTGTTTGTGCAATAGACAACGAGACACATCTATTGTGAGCAACCCGAGAACAAAAATTGACTGCCTATTCTGCTACGGACAAAACTAGATATGATATACAAGCAGGGAGTCATTTACACACACACACACGTAAAAAAATGATCCCTATCAAGATTAGTCTACAGTAAATCACTTTCGATATGAAAGTCCCACGATTTCCCTGAGTATTTAATGATTACAAGTGCTTATCTGGCTAGCATGAGATCATCGCATTTGACAGTCAACTGTTATAACGAGTTAACCCAGTAAAATGTAGAAGCAGAATCGTCCGCAAGCTTTCAATGTACAGTCGTACAACTTAACCGCAGGAACTCCCAGTGAATTCAAATAAAGTATTGATTTCCTAACTATTAACAAAGGAGAGTTTTGGTGGTACTGTCTTAGGAAGTTGAAAAAAACACCTACTGTAAAGAAACTAAGGGTTCGAAAGGTAACATATTTGCCTCGTAACCCATCTCTTGAATTTCATCCTTCGTAGTGTAATCAGTACATACTAAAAAATAAAGTGAAACGCAGTTAAACGAAGTTTTCATCAGTTTGCCCACCAGTGAATATGTATACTGTATATAACTTCTACAGTTCCCTATCATACATGGCATATTTTTTGCATGATATGCACAAAAAAACACCAGCACTTTTACTAACCTTCGATTGACTTTCTTTCCATTCTGTTAAGAATTTAGATGATTCCGGTGGCCTCATCTTCACCAACACCTCGGCTGGTAGATAAGAATTGGTTTCCCATAGGCTTAAAACACGATTGATTTTAGCTTTTTGTTCCTCGTCTGCTATTTCAGTTGCTAAGCAAAATATGATTGGTACTGTTTCTTGTAAAGCTTCCTGTGTAAAAAAGTATTAGATAAATATGAAGTATATGTTGTACAATTTCTATTGAAGAAGAAATTTACACTACATTTAGGGTTTGATATTTCATACGAATAAATGCTTAATGTCAATCGATAAAGTAGTATGAATGAAAAGTAAGCTTTCGTGTAAAACTTCGTGTCAAAAAGTGGTTGTGCTATTTCAAACAAATGAAGTATTGAAAATATCGTACCTAATCATGTTTACAACGGTCCACTGGCACTCTATGTGTCAGCCTCCTACTTAACTGCTACACTAACCAGTAAAACAACTACCTTATGAAAGCTGACTGACTAGCTTCAACATAGAACTTTGCACACATGTACAGCAGTTTGAGTTGCTACACCCCATGTAGCAGATAAAGGCAGACAAAAGAGAGAAAAAGAGATTCGAAAGGACGACAACAATCAGAAATGTGAGGGAGAGAGAAGTGTAACATGGAAAAACGATAAAGTTCTAACAGATATGGGAGATCAGAAGGAATGAATGCATCTGCGCCACCGACAACGATTTTGAGCCATACCACCAATTGTCTCCAGATATTGGATCGTAAAATCCCGAGGACCCCAAGCAGACAGTCTACATCTCCCTACTCGGCTCAAACTAACTGTCAAAGTCCTTATGAACTGATGCCATAGTTTGGTTTGACCACTACTAGCTCTTCCCCGTCCTGATCCCATGTCGGCTAACACTACTCATCGAGGAAGGCGATGACTAAGTTAAGTGTAACACATGTCCCAGCCATCTCAATCGATGCAGCTTCACAGCCCCATCGATTGACTTTCTTTCCTTACCTAACACTCGATGCCTAACTTCAATATTACTCTCCGTATTATACCATCTAACATGGAAGATAGAACGCAGACAACTATGATCAAAGATAGCTAGCTTTTTCATGTCTCCCACTTTCATTGCCTATGTCTCACATCCATAAAGGACGGAGCGAAATGCTGCGCAGTACACACATAGTTTGATCGATAGCCGGGTACCACGTCTACCCCAGAGATGGCGTATGTTGGCGAGTACCAAACGAGCCTTCTGTATCCGTGCTGAGATTTCGTCGACGATAAACCCACTGAAGCTGACACAACTTTCCAAATAAGTGAAGTGGTCAACACGTTCTACCACTTCACTCCCCATCTTTTAGCTAAGAGTCAATGTAGTCCAGTTCTGTAGCGTCATTTTACATTTGACAGAAGCACATCGCATGCCAAACATTCGAAGGTTGCTGCCCAATGTGTTTAGAAGACTCTGCATTCTATCAGCGTCTTCAACTTGGAGGACCATATTCGTTTAAACTGGTAATAAAACCTTCTTGTTTACACTCTAATAAGTATATCAGGGTTCCCTATATGCCCCTGAGTAGAAGTAAAGACTTCAATTGCCCATTCTAATCGAAAACAGTTCTACTAAATCGGCCAAAAATTCACCAATTGGAATCACATATCAATCAGTATTGAAAATATATTTCATGCACAATCCAACAGAAAATTAAAGCTCATATCGCTTGTGAAGATGGACTGAAACTTGGCTTAAGACAAAAGTGCATTGATAAAAAGATGTATGAACAACTAAAAGTGCATATATCACCAGTTAACCAGAACAAACAGACTACTTAAATTACATTCAAATGAAAACAGGCACAATGAGATGATTGAAGGATTTCATTATGAACTGACATCAATTAGAGAACCATTGGAAAATTTGGGAGTACTGAACAGCTAATTCGTCCTAGTTTGGGACTCCTCAGAAGTACGCACCCACCACAGGGGTTCGAAACCAGGATCTTCTGGTAACAAGGCTAGCGAGCTCGTAGACCATTAAGCCACTGGGACCAGACCCAATGGCCCATCAACTCTAACTTCTGCCAATTCACGAGGTCATCTTGTAACCAGAAGGTCCTGGTTGCGAACCCCTGTGGTGGATGCGCACTAGTGAGGAGTCCCAAACTAGGACGAAACAGCTGTCCAGGATTCCCATGTTTTCTAATGGTTATCTAACTGATGTCAGTTCATGATGAAATCCTCCAACCAATCAGACAAAATCCCTACAAAACCAATACTTGAAAACAATGAGATGAATTTCCCTACTTCATGCATCAATTACACTTTATCAATTGAAAAGTAATATGTGAAAACAGTTGAATAATTTTAAACTAGCCGCACAATACATTTTAAACATTCAAAATAAACATACCTGTAAATGAGCGGGAGCACCACGACGTTTCGAATGATGAAGTAAATCATTCAGTAGGTAGACTAAGTGTAATCTCAAATCAAATGAAACACGGGTGGCACTAGCACGAGCTATTAAATAGTCAGACATTAACTTAGTCAATTCAGGTGACTCAGTCATTTTATCAACAATCCAAGATTTTCCTTTTGATATATTTTCCTTTGTACAGGCCTCGATAAGTGGCTGAATCATCTAAAAACAAAAAATTAGCAAATATTTAGTTCCATTCAATAAGCATGCAGTGCCAACAAGTGAATACATTACAGCACAAAGCAACATTTTGATTATTATAATGTTCACTTCTTTTTAAATCTGATTAACTGATTACATGCATCATTCCTCAAGCTAACAAATTCCACTAAGATAATAGTCTGATGTGACATGTGGAATATTTTTGTAGTGCACAGTTATTTCACGGATGTATTTCAGTTCTATGAAATGACAATACGAGCAAGTAATTTTCTCGGTTACTTTCTATGACGCTAATAACTTGTTTATATGGACTATGATTTCCATCCCATTGAAAGATTTTCAAATGACCCCTCAATTAAAATGATCAATACCCACAAATCTGATTGTATCAATCCACTCAGGCTTAGTTTTCCCAATCTTTAATCCACAAATAGTCATTTAAAAGTTGGAACTGTGTCGCCTAATACAAGGTAACAATCATGTCTGTCTAAAAGAAAGGTAGAGTGGGCCATTGAACAGTATGCAAAGCCTTCACTCGGTTGATAGATACCTGCTTCAAAGGTCACATCAATACCAAATGAAACTTCTGTAATAGTTTTCAGGTTACTTCAGTAACCAGTTTACTAAAACTGAATGAATAACTGAAGTAATCAGTACATTCAACTATCTAACTCTAAATCCTCAAATCAGAAGTCTATATACACCAATCCTGTAACACCTCTGTAGCTTGTAAAATAATTAATGTCACCTAAAGCTATTAAAAACGAAGACAAGTATTATTATTGTTCCCTTGGGTTCCGAGTGGAACATATGACTTCAACAACACATATCCACTTGGTTCTGTTTTCTGCCGTCCTCTTCAGCTGGTTCCACGATTGTCCATATTCTCTCATCTCTTACTCTCAAGATCTCCTTCATGTCACCCTTACACCGACGACACACTCGTTGTTTTCCATTCGGATTGCACTCGAGCGATGACCTGCATTGCGCGCGATATCATTCGATGGCCTCCGCAGAGTATGCCCAATCCATTTCCATTTTCTTCTACAGATTTCTTGAATAATTGGCTCTTGATTTGTTTTGTTGCCAGAGTTCCTTGTTGTTGATTTTTTCTGACCCACCGTTTGATCTTCAGTATGTAGCCAGTGACGGTATTTGTTGATAAAAGTCTGGGGTCTGTTTGAAATGCTTTCCATAACCCGTACAAAATAACTGATTTCACGTGTTGAAAATCCGAATCTTTTTGTTTATACTGGGTGCAGAAGATTTCCAAACTGATTTCAGACTGATGAAGGCGTATGTTGCCTTTCCCATTCTCGCTTTAGCAACTTCATCCGTGCCATCCGCCTGTGGTTGAAACCATGCTTCTTAGATAAGTGAAGGAAGTAACCTCTTTCAAACTTCTCCCGCTGATGGTGATTGGTGCTAGTTGTTATTGATGTTGGTTGGTTATCTGCATCACCTCCGACAAGAGGAAGGATGAATTGCAAGTGATTGATCACACTTACTGAAAATACAAACTGATTAGAATAATAGGCTTCAGGTGACTATTATCTACGAAAAAGTAGGAAATTATATGATAACCGATATGGACTTCTAGTCCTGTGACACCTACACAGCTTCTCAAAATTCCCAACAAAACTAAACGAGCAATCATTACCAGCTTTCGAAAGTAAATAAGGGATATTGTACAACATTTAAAATAATTTCCAGATGTCCAATAAACTTAGAAACACTAAGAAATTAACGTCTTTTTCAATTTGTAACTTGCAAAAAGGTTGGAGAATATAGGCAAAACTAGTTCAATTAAATAACTATTCAGACTTATACGAAGTTTTCAACACATAAAACTGGTAAATCCTCTTTAGTTCAGAATTATAAATGCATACTAGTATTTTATGATGTTTTATTCCACTTCGAAGTGTCCTCTGCTGTCTAATATTGGTTCCTATCCAAGCACAATGAAAAACGTCATAGGAGACAATTAATGCTAGCCCATGATACCTCGATATATGGGATCGTACCACTGAATGCAAGCTTATAATGAACTTATTAAATTACCAAGATGAATGGTGCTATCCAATAGTGTATTCTTCCTTAATATCGCTATGCTAAAATACCTAGTCGGCTGGCTCAATAAATATGAAGATGCAGTTCAAATTACATGAGTGACGACTTACTACACACTTTCATCTAATGGGTTCCGGTATCAAACCCCGCCAGACCTACTGCAGCCTGGGCGACTGAACAGCACAATCAGCCCTCACACAATAAGTGTGACTCAAAAAGGAACATAAAAGACCTGTTCTGGGATCTGAATATAAACAAACACAATTTTACTATTGACAAAGAAATCACTGAGTCTGACTAGTGAAGCATAGACGATGTTGAGTCAACTGCTTGACGTTGAGACATGTTTGTAACCACCTCTAACTAGCTGATATTTGGTGAAATGTCGCATAAGCAGCTATCCAACGCCAGTAGCAACAAGATATATGTGCATCTATGATGCTCTTGATGTGTATTTGGTCTATGGGTTGTCAATCGCCTGACTGCAGCATTTAAAAAGTAACAGGACGAATTTAAGTGTGGATACACCCATGACATAAAACTGAACTACGTTGAAATATGAGTAACAAGCAAAAAGAAATTAGATATCCTAAGTGTCTGTGAAAATACATGATATTAACACTGACTAAGAAAGTCAACAAACATGACTTTTGTGTGATTAATTGCAAACAGATAACTCACTTCATTCATTTGCTCCCAAGACATGTTTAGTTTCTCTCCTGCCTTTCGAACATTTTCTTCTCTTTTCTTATCCAAAAGTTCATGAATTTCAACTTCTTGACGCGCAAGCAATGATTCATGCTGGGCAGCCAGATTCTTCTCACTTTGTTCAATATCAGCCTCCCCTAATTCAGAACTATTGGAAACTTGATATTCATATGATCCTGATGCATGATAAGACTCTGGTCCAAACGAATACTGCTGAGGGGGGAAGGCACCATGTTGTCCAGGATAGCCATATTGAGGAGGATTGTTGAAGTTCCCATGATGATAGGAATCCATTGCATTGGGAGGTGGATGAAACGGAAATGCAGGAGGACAACCAGGCATACGTATACCTTGCGGGTAAGGCCACTGTGGTTTCGGATACCAAGTGGGATCAGGACCGCCCCAACCACAATGCCCTTGTGGGGGCGCACTATAACGCTGCCAGTGCTCGGCGCTACCGCTATACTGATCCCATTGATCATTCATATTAACCCAATTGTTTCTACGATCAAAAGGCTTAATGAAAGAAAAAGAATAATATGCAATTCAAAAAATCCATTCACTGTTTGATTACACAAATCATAGTAAAATGGAACTTTTTATTTAACCTTACCTTCATGTCAAACAAGCCGATGTGCTTGTGACACCGGAGAATATAAAAAACACTTTTATCGCATGAACAAATGCCTTGACACTAAGTGCATATTGCCTTAAATATATGAGAAGAGTATCTATTTCGGAAGAACAAAAGAGTCCTCAGACACTAAATTACAACTGCTAAATATGTCGGCACTCACAAGCTAGTGAATACGCGCTTTCACAAACAGACAAATTATAACACGTTTAGTGAAATATAATAGTTTAACGGCACTAGTAGTCAAAACATTTCTGAACATTCCTTCGGAAATAAAGTGTGAATTCAATAAAAGATTAAGTGAGTACGATTAAATTAATTTTAATAAAACCCATTAATCACTATGATATGAAGACAATTGCTTTAGATAGAAAACGAATCCACCTTTAAAAGTAATATGAGACATACACAAATATCCCTAACCATATGTCAATAGTTCAGAAACAGCCATAAGAATTGAGTCAATTTAGTAAGCGCAGGAAATAAATTTATAGGATATAATCGTCAGTGCACCTTCAGATTTAATAATAATAATATTTTTGCTTTATTCCAAAACAGTATAAATGATAGCGAAAACGTTTTTCCATGAAATTATGTTCTAACATTCAGATAGGAAGACACTTGACAAAAGAGTCCTACATCATACACTAACAAAAAGAAAGATTAAAAGACAAAAAACAAAGGAATGTGACACTGCAACTAAGATGAATACATAATGTTAATATAATTCAGCTGAGTGCATAAAGTCTATCACATTACTGTTCCTAAGGTCTACTATTTAAGCCATCATTTGTGATTATTTCATATTTTTAGCTGTATAAAAGAGGAGAAACTGGGTCAGCTAGAAAAGTATATTGGTGACATACATGCAGTCTCATGCCGAGGGACCGACAACATTAGGCGTCTTTTACAATTCTGGTCAGATAATCATCTGTTCCTAGTCACCAATAATTTTACACATATGGAAAAAGTGTGCCATCTGGCAGTTTCCACCAAATCAACGGGACATAATTAACCCATGTTTCCGTCGGTTGAAAGGGTAGATGGGAAACTGCCGCTGTCCGTGGAACACCTGCATAGACTCCTATAATGCTCTGGTACGTGCACGTTTATGTCTATGACTGAACAGACATGGAAAACAGCCAGCTACGAAGTCTCTAAGCCCCCAACTTGGTGAGAACATTGTCTTTGTTTGGGGAAGCAATAATCGAACGCATAGCTGAGACTGTTAGTATGACTCTCGCTGAGGAGGCTGATGTAATATCTATTCAGCTGTAGAAACAGTGATAAAGACTGGAGATTTCTCGTCCGAACTGGTAAATGAGAAGAGACTAATTTCGGTGATCTCTGAGCACGATGAGGAGCAAAAGATGCTCAAATGCAAGCTGACTAAAAGTTCCTCTAACGACCGTAAACATCGGTGGTCGATGGAAGCCAAACAGACGGAGAAGACATCAGTGGTAGATAACACCTGATAACTGTTTGGACGCATCAGAGAAACGGGGTTGTAAACTATCAGTGATAAGCGCAACAGTTTCCGAGGACAGTGCTTTAATTATCTCAGGTAATATCTTAGAAATCAAGACATTCAAATCAAACTAATGCAGCCAACTAAGAGCTTATGGAAATTTATCACCTATAGTAGAGATAACCAACCAGTCACTTCAGTCAATACAGCTTCATACACTTATCGATTAACATACCCTTGTCATCTAACACTATGGAGTAACTCAATATTACTAACAATGTTATGCCGCTTCACACGAGAGAGTGAACACATTCATACGGCTAGTTTTTTATATTTACCACCCTTAGCGGCCACCAACCAAGAGCTTGGCTTTATCAGTAACAATTATATATATATATATATAAGAAGAATGGAGGTTGCTGCGCAGTACACACATCCTCTGGTCGACAAGCAGATATAGTGTCTGCGACAGAGATGACGGAAGTATGCAAATGCCGAACGAGCCTCCTGTATACGAGCTAAGATTTTGTGAATAATCAGGCAACTTCGAAAACCAAGTACAGTGGTCCATACGTCCAATCACTTTACTCACTGTTCTGAAACTAGGAGTCCTATAGCACTCACTAATGCTAAAAGGAAAACGCACGACTATTCCGAATGCAGCACTTAGTTTATGAAAAGAATGTGATTTGTGATGGAATTTAAGCAGATCCAGCAACTATGGTGACCAATAACAATCACCGACTAAGTAAATTACCGATGAAAGAAGTGCAGGGATTGCAACACTGGAAGAGAACACATATAATATTCTTAGTAGACCTAACGACCAGCTCCTCCAAATCATGATAGATTTAAAACCTATATATCTATTGAATAATGATGTCTATCATTCCAAAACACGGTCAAGTTGAACTTTAAGCACCAGTAAGCACCATTGAAACCTGGCAAATACTATTTTAGGCATAAAATGTGCTTAATGAAATGTTATTTTATTATATGGGATATCTGGCAAGTTTTAGGTCAGGTTTGGAAAAGATTACGTTCAGGTTTAGGCTAAGGATAGGTTAGGATTAGGTTAACCTAATGAGGGCGACATTAGGGTTGGTTCAAGTTAGATTATGATTGCTTTAGGGGTATTTTCAAGTTAGGTTTAGGTTAAGGAAAAATCAGGGTAATTGTTAGGGTTAGAAGACAGAGATAATTGCATTCATAGAGTTTGGTTAAATTACTTTGTTGATACTCCAATCCGAAACTGAGACTTATTTCTGTCATACGCCAGAGTAAGGTATCCTGTATAATAGTTGTACGCCTTTTAATTCATTATTTTCATGAATATATGTATTTATGCGCAACAATCGCCTTTAATATGTGGTTGGTGTGTTCAAGGTCATCTATCCATCGGTACTTACTGGTGCTTAAAGTGTAACTTCGCCCAAAACACGCTCCCATATTTCTAAATTAGGTAGGCGATATTTCTCGTTAATGTTAAGAATACTAGCAACGCTAACGCTACAGTTTTAGCCTATCACCATAAGATCTAAATCTTACTTCCGAGATATAGCTGCATATTAAAAACGTATATCCCGAGACCTTCTGCATACTACGCAAATGCATGAATGATGAACACGGGTAAACGACACAAAGTTAGAGATAAAAGATTAAGACTAAAAAGCTTTAAATTAGAGACAGTCATGAAATACCATCCCTGATAACTTGAAAATTCCATATCAACCACATGAAATAAATTTCCTTAATTATTCATGGATTACAAACCAAAAAAATCCTAACATATATTATCAAAAAGTATTTCTCCAACCTGAAGAGATTTATCTTTCATTGAATACTGCTGCTGCCAGACTTTAAGAGCTTCGTTTACTCTATACAAGTAGTATTCACGGTACTCGCCACCCCGGAGAAATGCGAACTTCGGGTTGTCCCTCTGTTTTTCGCTTGTTAATGCTTCGAATTCTGGCCCATTCCTAGCCACAAATTCGGCCAATTTATCAATAATGTTCTGTTGTTCTGTGTCGGCTGGAGGCAAAGGTGTCGCCATCTGGTTGCAACAGTTACAGTTCTTCAGTAATTAGTATCTATGCCTAAGCTTCCAGTTGAGACATGTACATCAATTTAATAAAATTTCAGCGTTTGTTTGAAGCAGAAAGTTAACAGAAAGACTTGTAGCAAGTGATTACAGTCCCACTAAACTACCTTTATAAAGACACGTAACAGTTTACATTAGCCGCCTTCAGTTAATGTATGAGTGATTGCGTATACAATTTAATAGACATGAGACCCGAATTTCTACTTGAGATTAAAGGTTTACAAGCTAGCGTTAATCTTTTTCTTCAAAAATTTCAATGAGGGCTCAGGCACCACTTCATCTGCGGTCAAAATCTTATAATTATGAATTCTGTGACAGTACTGATACTCTAAATTGTCTTGAAAACTCGTGCTTTGTTTTCCGAGATATTTGAACCCAATGGAAAGAGGAAAGGAAGATAGACGAGGTCCATAGCCATTCTTCGCAATTGCAGATGGGATGAACAGATATCTTCCTTGCCCATAATATGATAAGGAGAGGAAAGTACACTAAAGCCTTTCAGAGAATGGCTGGTTTCCTGAATTAAGCTTTTCAGTCCACAAATTACCGGTGATATGACTACGAGTAAGTAAAACCCGTTCTTACCTCAAGAATGCATATCCTGATTTCTGTGTATTGACTGTGAGTGGCCCTGTTTCACACCCTTTCTGTAGCCTTTCCAGGTTTTTCCAAATGGCGGAGGTAAAATCTATTTGACTTGGTTAAGACATATTCACTACTTTCAAGTCATCTGCGAATAGGATTCGAAGCAGGTACATTTATCCTTCATATTCGTAATAAACACAAAAGCCTTAGGACTGATCCCTGTATTACCTCGTTAGTAAAATTTTCAGAATGGGAAAAGTGTCAGCCTACTTTTGCGGTTTGATTGCTGTTTATCAAGAACGCGGTTAGCCACTTCTTTTAATTTGCGGAGTAGTGAGGGGTGCAAGACTTTTGGACAAGAATCCATATTGCAATTCACTGATAAGAGTATGCTGATAATTTCCACGACCTTTCCCATATCTCACAGGAGTAGAACAATTATATTTGCATGGAGGTAATTCTTAGGACTAAGTCTAGAACTCTTCTTGAAGTGTGGAATTATATAGCTGGTAATCCAATCAGTTGGGTAGGTTCCTGATTTCATGGACACATTAAAAACTTTGTATGGCAGTGTAGGAAAGTCAGTGCTACCATGTTTAATGAAGACACCAAGTATCTCATCTACTCCTCTTATACTAGAGGGTTTGATAGATTTTATCATATCCCATACGTTGTTCAGATTAAACTCAACTACTGAGAATTAATTAACCTTTCCTCCTGTTACTGTGGTGGCTTGGTGGCTGGTATAAGTAAAGGACCTCAAACATGTGTCATTCAGTGCCCAACATATTTCAGAAGATCCTTAATAGGCGTATTACCAACATTCAGCATCCCAAGGAAATAGGACCCAGTAGAAAATCTAAGTTTCAAGATTTTGGCAGGAGTTTTGTCTTTATCTCTGCATCTAGGTTTTTTCTTTCTCCAGCGTGTCTGTTCTATATATGTGAACTTTCAGGCCTGCCAAAAGTGTCTATATCCTTAATCTAGCAAAGTAGCCAGGCAAGTCAGAAAAGTCTCTACTCAACTCTCCTAATATTTTCTTGGGTATGACTGGAATATAATCACTACATGAGGTACTGTGCTTCCTTGTTTCAAGTGGAGCTGTGTTACCGAGATCAAAGTGTGATTATGCCTAGACCTCTGTGGTTCAGTTGGTCTTCCCTACATTGCGTGAAGTTCTGCAGGTTAAATTCACCGTCGGTGACTTCAGCTGATAGCATTGATTACTTAGTGGGGGTGATATCCAAGCTCACCAGGTCAGCTATGGCAACCAGTTGACTCAGACTTTGACAAAACGTGAAAATCGACCAACTGCAGAGTCATTTTTCATGTGATTATGTAAACAATGTAACCATCAAAACCGATTCATTGTAGTATGAGCTCAGGAAACAGACCTATATGTCCTACTCTACGTCTGACAGAACCTCCTCCAAAGGCAGGGAAAAGACTATAATTCTTCTATAAATCTGTTATTCTATTCAACAACAATAATAGAAATTCAAAATACCTCAGCAGCGTCACTAGACAGTGATACAGTCAGAGTTATTTTCCAAGTACGAAAAACGTTTTTGGCGTCAAGTGAAACGCTCCCAATAAGATGGGATAAAAACCTCTGTCCACAAAAGTGGCACCAACATTTCCTCGAGGCAGTTCAAGGTTACAATGACACTTAGAATATTGATAACATATTCCCAGTTTTGCACATGAGGGACTCTGGTTTACAGGCACCATTAGTATGCCAAATGACAAACATGGAGTAAACATATTAACAGTCACTCACCTACATAGCGACATACGTAAAGCAGGGCGATGGAACGATATCTACAAGGTCACTTCGCATGGGCGGAAGGAATGTACACAGCAAGATACTACACGTCTTCATTGTTTCAATTTAACCAAAATACACTTCATAATTGGAGCTTGCGTTACTGGTAGTACGTGTGGTAGGTTATGATAAGTTAGTCTTGTGAGACGTTATTTGGTTTATCGATAACAATATATTCCGGAACATAAACAGCCATTGACTCACCGCAGCAATGTTCAGGCAAACTTACAAGCAACAGGTAATTTTTAGTCCATACATGGTTAGGAACCAGAATAATGATGAATTAATGCATATAAAATGGTGAGTAGGGCATGCATGAGCTGGGAATTACCATCACACGAATTAGTGAGATTACAAATTCAACCATCAGTATATGTTAATTATTCCTCAAATTAGGGGACTTACTGGCGCTCTAAAGGCAGTGATTGGGATTTGTTTAATGGTATAAAGATTATATTCCTCAACTGTCACCCAGGATGCGTCGGAGACAGCATCGGGTACTTTGCGAGACATTTGCAGGATTAAGGGCCAGTGATATTTGCAAATTTCCTTACAAAGTCTTTGTAAGTCTCCAAAAACTTATCTTTCAAAAAAGCCAAATACGAGTTAAAATGGTGGAAAAAGAAGACGACGAAGGACAGCGGCGCAGAAAGCGGCATGAGGAGTCCTCAAGGAGTAATTTTTAATTTATATACTTATAGCTGACCAAGGAACACAGAAGACAACTTAAACAACTTCAAGAAAATAAAGACAATCCTCGTCCGTCCCGATAAGGGCAATGGGATTGTGGTAATGAATAGATCCGACCATAATGACAAATTGACAAATATATTATCTCACAACACCAAATTCTTCGAATCAACCAACCAGAAAGGCACAACAAAAAGAACAGAAAACCTACTTACAAAATTGCTGAAGAGAATGAAAGAAGGTTCAGTCATAACATCGGAGGTTTACGACCAAATAAAACTATGCAGTTCAACCATTCCAAGACTTATCGACTGCCTAAAGTGCATAAGGAGAATGTCCCACTTCGATCTATCATAGACATGGTTAACTCACCATATCATCAGATCGCGAAGTGGCTAGCTGATATCCTCGAACCAGTTAAAAGACATATGACAAAATATAGCCTCAGAGATACATTTGACTTCATCGATTCAGTGAAGTATTTCAGCGTGTTTGAAAGACAAATGATCTCACTAGATGTCACCTCTCTATTTGCAAGCATCCCCTGACCGAAACAATTTTGACTTCATCGAACCCAACAACCTAGGAGTTCCTCTTCCCATAAACTACCTGAAGGAACTACTCCTCAGATGTACATTTAATATCCAGTTCAAATTCAATGAACAGTTCTATGTACAGAAAGATGGTGTAGCCATGGGGTCACCTCTCGGTCCACTCCTAGCCGATTGCTTCATGGCGAGTCTCGAAAACAACATCCTCGATCCTTTCATAAGTCAACTGCACTTTTACAGGAGATGCGTAGATGATACGTTCATAATTTGTGATGAAAAATCTGATTTGGATTATCATCTCAGAACCTTCAGCGCAGCATACGCATCAATAAAATTCACCTTAGAATGTGAATCGAACAACGCATTTCCGTTCCTCGATGTACTACTTACCAGACGACACAGCTGTACGGTTCAAAGATCGATGTACCCATTCAACAAAAGCGGAACTTAAACATTGCAAATGTATACTATCACTTCAAGTAGTATATGGCTTCTTCTCCTTGTATTTATCTTGTAAATATACTTCCAATAATGTATTATTCGTAATCGCATTTTATACCATTTTGCAGCTGCGCAGAATTTTCTCCTCTTCCTGAAATAGCGTTCAATCACGTGGCGGTATAGCACTTACCCAGATATACGCTGTTCACTGGTTGACCATGACGATCAGCAGGAAACGGAACGAAGTTTGGGTTGTCGCTCAACTTTGATGGTGACCTTAGTAAACGGTTTACAATTTAACATTCGTAAGAACCTGCTCTGATTGCTTGTACAATAATCGAACAATTCAAACTTTTGAAAAAGTAATAATTTGTGATACTTCAGGATTGTAATTTATGACATTACTGATAGTGCCTGTAAAAATGGCATGCATTTCTTGTAAACTTACCCGTTTATACGAAACATAAATTATTATTATGTTTTCTGGAATTCCGGCCCACAAATTTCAAGGACTGTATATCAAAAAGCAACAAAAAATATCGGCGGAAGTGCGTGTAGTATTGTCACCAGTTTCGAACGTAACAAGCGTCTACACACGATAGACGATTTTCAGCAAGTTCCATTGCGAGGTATGTTAATCGCGACAGATAGATAGACTGTATGATAAACAGCCAATCAATATTATGTGACCTTTTTTGTCGCGATTATTGGTCGATTTATTGTAACTCTCACCACGTGATGACCTTGAGTGTTCTTTTTTGTCAGTCACTCTATTCTTGTATACATGTAATTAATTGACTGTTCATTTTGTCCGTACCTTCAATACTGTTCGGTACGTTTTTGTCCTCTTTTTGTAATGACAGTGTATTTGTACATTTTTCTTGGGGTAATTGTATGATTTATTTTATGTTTTAGAAACAGATAAAGTTACGTCAAGTCATCCTGTTTTTAACTATAGCTAAGCCGAGACTCTGTATCGTCAGTATTGAGGAAGGACTAAATCTGTAGGACAAAAATAATCCTACAAAGTTTCGAACAGTATGGCAGACGAAAATT